CCTGTTCTGCTCCCCACTCTGTCTCTGGTGAAGCCTCTCACCGCCCCTGCACCTCTGGCCTGTACCCCAGTTCTGTATGTACAAATAAATCTTAAAAAAATTTAAAAAAAAAAATACATTTAAAAATTATTATTGGATTAGCATTGAACCTGTAAATTTCTTTTGGTAGGGTGGCCATTTTGATAATTTAGTTAATTCTTCCAACCCATGAACAGGGGATATCTTTCCATTTCTTTGGTCTAATATTTCTTTTAACAATATTTTATAGTTTTCTTTGTATAGATCCTTCACCGCTTTTATTAGGTTTATTCCCAGGTATTGGATTTTTTTTTTTGTTTTTTTTGCATATAGGAAGGCTACCGATTTTTGTGTGTTTGTGTCCTGCTACTTTGATAAACTGGTTGATTATTTTGATTAGCTTTCTGTGGAGCTTTTGGAGTTCTCTATGTGTGTTAGCATATCATCTGCAAAGGTGTCAATGTTTTGAAATGTTGTTTAAAGTTAAGTGTATGCTGAAGTTACTCATTTGGCAATAAACTGAGTATTATTGTTATAGCGAAAGATGCTTTCCCAGTGCTATTAAGCTAAAATCCATACTTCTTACTGTGGCTACCAGGTACACATAAGCTGCCTCTTTTAACTCAGTGGTCCTATCTGTTTTATCTCCCCCGCCCCTAGTTCTTATGTAGTAGCCTGCTCTCTCATGCCAGCTACGCCAAGTCTGTCCCTCCTTAGCTCTTTCATGCTTCCTGCTACATTTGCCTAGAGCACACTTCTACCATGTCCTTGCCTGGTGACTTATTATTCAGTTTGGCTCTCACTTCCTCCAAGATGCCTTCCTTGACCATCCTGTTCCCCCCAATCCTCTAATCACCCCATTTATTTCCTGTGTGGCATTCTTTGTAACACAATTAGAAACCATCTTGTTTCATTTGGATCCCTGAATCAAACTGTAAAAACAAAAATATAGGAACAAATGAAAAATTTGAACACTGTCTAGATAATTGATGCTCTTTAGGAATTTATCTCATTCTTCTGGCAAAGTAAGATGCATGAATAGCTATCCTCAACATTGTCAAGCTATTTTTCTCTTAATAAGATGTGTAACATTTAGCTTGTCATACCCCTCTGCTCTCACATAATATTGTCTTTTTCATCTGTAAGATAATAATTTTCAACTATGTTTTTCTTATATTAAAGGTATTTGATAGCAATTGACCGAAAAGGTGGCCCTTCAGTAGCCAAGGAGACTGTTAAACTTGCTGAAGAGTTTTTTCTTTCTACTGAGGATATAGTCCTTGGTGTTGATCTCAGTGGTGACCCAAATGTAAGTTGTTTTCCTAAATACAATTTGTTTCTAAAAGGTAGAATCAGTTTGAGGGATTAAGCTTAGTTTGTTGTATTCACCATTCTTTTTTTTTTTTTCTTAAGATGTATTTATTTATACATACAGAACTGGGGTACAGGTCAGAGGTGCAGGGGCAGTGAGAGGATTCACTAGAGACAGAGTGGGGAGCAGAACAGGCCAACTGATGAAGTACATTGCTGAGGGGAGCAGCGGGCTGGTCAAGAGAGGTCTGCCGTGCCATGTGGATCACCTCCGGGGCGGGGATCGAACTCATGCAGAAGTGGCTTTAGCTCCTTAGTGCTGTGCTTTAACCTGCTGTGCCACCAGGGAGTGGCACCATTCTTAAGAGATCCAGAGACTGGATGATAATATAGGCTCCCTGGGATGACCAGAATGTCTGTAGCAGTTGTTTTCAGCCAGGGTTCTGTGAAAGAATTAAGCCTCCATTAAAAACAAAAAGAGGCCCTCCCTGGTGGCAAAAAGGTTTAAAGCACAGCACTGCAAGCTAGCCACAGCTGCTTCAGTGCCATTTCAATCCCTGGCCCCGGAGTTGATCCACATGGCGCGGCAGACCTCCTGACCCACCCACTGCTCCCCTCAGCAGTGTGTTTCAGTAGATCTGCCTGTTCTGCTCCCCACTTTATCTCTGGTGAATCCTCTCACCACCCCTGCACCTCTGGCCTGTACCCCAGTTCTGTATGTATAAATAAATCTTTAAAAAAAGAAAATAGGGCCCTCCCTGGTGGCGCAGTGGGTTAAAGCACAACACAAAGAAGCTTAAGCCACTTCCGCATGAGTTCAATTCCCGCCTGCCCCGGAGGAGATCTACATGGCGAGGCAGACCTCTTCTGACCCGCCCGCTGCTCCCCTCAGCAGTGTACTTCGTCGATCTGCCTGTTCTGCTCCCCATTCTGTCTCTGGTGAATCCTCTCACCCTCCACATCTCTGGCCTGTACCCCAGTTCTGTACGAATAAATAAATAAATCTTTTTAAAAAAAGAAAATAATATTTTCATGACAATATATGATTATTTTCTCCATTTCTCTAAAGATGGTTATAACTAATACTATTCTACATACATAAGAGCAAATTAATTTCATACAATGGATATCTCTTAGTTGTGATTGGACTTAATTATCTCATTGAACCCTATCTTAAATGTCAGATTCAAACAAGGTGTCTCAACCATGTTTTTTGGACTTGTTCTTTGTTTTGGGGGTTGTCCTGTGCATTGTAGAATGTTCAGCAGTATCCTTCACCTTACCCTCTTGATGCCAGTAGTAGCATCCTCTAATTGTAATGGCCAGATGGGGGCAGAGTCAATCCTGATTGAAAACCATTGAGTTGGATAAAGTCCCTTGAAATTTGTCCAGACCTGAACTGTTTTGCCATTGATAGAAACTTTTCTTTAGTAAATCAGGTGAGTTCTCTTCTTTAGTACTAGTTATATTTCCAGAAATAGAATTGGGCAATTGAAAAGCACTTTGAAAAAGCATTTAATGAACTTTCCTCCATATGATTTCAAGCTACCAGGACATAGGACACAGTCCCTCCCTCCTTCCTCCAGCCTCTCCCCATACCCTCAATCTCCATACCATTACTTTTTTTTTTTTTTTTTTTGGGCATAGAACTAGGGGTGTAAGCTAAAGGTGCTGGGGGATTAGAGGATTCACTAGAGACAGAGTGGCAGCAGAACAGGTGGATTTACTGAAATACAATGCTAAGGGGAACAGCAAATGAGACAGGAGAGATCTGCTGTGCCTTGTGGGTCACCTCCCTGGCTGGGGATTGAGCTCCTTTTGCAGTGTCTGGCAATAGCATGACAGCACTGTCTGTAACCTCTGCACCACGAGAGAGGCTCCAGGACATAAATTTTTAAAGATTTATTTATTTGTGCACATAAGAACTGGGGTACAGGCTGGAGGTGCAGGAGGGTGAGAGAATCCTCTCACCAGAGACAGAGTGGGGAGCAGAACAGGCAGATCTACTGAAACACACTGCTGAGAGGAGCAGAGGGCAGGTCAGGAGAGATCTGCGGGCAGGTCAGGAGAGGTCTGTTGTGCCATGCAGGTCACCTCCCTGGCTGGAGATTGAGATTTTGCTGCAGTAGCATGAATAACTTCATAGTGCCATGCTTTAACCTGCTGTGCCACCAAGGAGTGCCCTGGGACATAAATTTTTTAAAGGAATCCTCCTCCCCTCTCTACCAGGAAGAACAGAAGTTTAATTAACACTAAGTCAATTGCTCAAATTGACGGCTGAACAAAAGCTCTGTTTCCATTCCTGTTTCCAGGAATGCCTCTTAGCTTTCTCAGAGTAAACTGGGTGATATTTGTGAAAGTCATTTCTGTCACCACTGATTCTGGGGTGCTTCCTGTGCTTAACGATGTGGGCCTGGCTCATGTGGCTCCAAAGTTTCCCTTTCTTCCCCAGTCTGTTTGGCACATTGATGGCCAGGATGAAAGAGTGTGAAGAGACTCTTGCCAGTAAAGGCTGTGTCTTTACCAGCTTTGTATATCCCCAGCTTTTTAGCACATTGTAGGTATTTTGTAAGCAAAATGTGAGAATGACTCAGTCTACCTTTTTTCTGCTATTCTTTTATTATTTTTTTCACTGGACAGTATCTGATTTCTCAGTTTGCCTAGAATTCTCATAGTCCTCATTTTAACTTGTTCTCAAGGCAGGAGAAGCAAAAGACTTCTTGGAACCTCTTTTGGATGCTAAAAAAACAGGTCTGAAGTTGGCATTGCATCTTTCAGAGGTAAATACTATTGTAAAGGTAGATTATAATGGAAAGTAGTAGGCTCATTTATAAGTGGCTAAAAGTAAACCTAATTTGGAAGAGCACTTTTAGAAGGGGAAAGTAGAAATATTTTAAAATATAAATTATAATGATAAAGATATTACTTGCTTTAGTCCCTTGTGTTTCTACCTTGATGGTTCCTGGGGGTGGCTGTTGACTTGCAGTGACATCTTGCTAGAGAAAATGTATGAATTTCCATTGTCAGTCTTGTCTTGAAAAAAAAGTACCAGTTCTTCTGACCTGTAACACAGGATTTCCTGACCTACTAGAAGAATCTTGGATGTTTCCTATGCACTGATAAGAAAGGAAGTAGCTCACCATCATTTTAATAAGACTCACCAGGGAAATCAAGTGCCCCTCGGCAGCTCCCAGCTCCTTGGAAGCACAGTGGCAGATAATGTCCAGATAATGGATGGAGAACATTCACTTTCTTAAGCACATCCTGTGAAGCAAATAAGGGATTCTACTATTCTTATCTACATTTTATATGGACTTACTTTCTGCTGCAATTTTTCTTTCTACTTGATATGCAGAAAAGCTAAATATGAGTGAATACAACTTAATGGATTTGGATTTCATTGTTTCTTGAATGCAGGACATGATCCTTAGTATACTTACCTTGTGGGGTTGTTGTGAATGTTAAATAGCTGCATAAAAGTTGACTATTATTATTTAATGATTAAAGGGAACATTGAAGCTTTATGTCAGTACTGGCATTGTTCATGTCTATAAGCAGAGGGTCATTATCTTAATGCAAAATCTTAAATCTGGGATCCATGTTTCCACATTGATCAAAAATGCCTTTCATTCATGGGACCTTCTCCAGCTTACCCGATACCTGTTGAAACAGTTGCTCAGTGTAATGGAACAGCTGACCTGTGTTACACTGCCCAGCTGCCTGCAGTCTTGTATACATCAGAACCTTTGCACCTGTTGTTTTCTTATTTCAGCCATTAAATAGAAAACATTTTGCCATGTTATGTTCACTTGTCTTTTAGACTATCTGGGAGATAAATAGCAAAACTAAACACTTTCATATTTATTTACCTAGTCTTGTCAAAAACATGAGCAATCTGTGGGGAGAGTCAGAACCCTAGAGTTAGACAGGACCTTATCAATACCATTTGCAAGTTCTGTGACTGGACAACTATTTTTTTAAATGCTTTATATGTTTAACTACAAAAGTTATATCTATCTGAAGAAAACCCAAGCACAGAGAATTATAATGTAGAAAGGGAAAAATGAAAAAGTCCCCTTCCAATATCAGTCCTACTCCTCAGAGTTAATCCTGTTAATAGTTTTGTGTTTGTCCTTGCAGTCCCTTCTCCTAAAATATACGAACACATATGTGACATATACAACACAGAACACATATACACGGAAAGTTGTGGAATTTTGGTTTTGAAAATTACTTTTTTCTGAGCATTAATTTATCAATACTTTGTAAGATTCTTGCAAGACTTGAAGGAGAATTTATGTGAAAAGGCACAGAGTAAGTCCTTAATAATTATTTATTGTTGTTATTATTGAGTCTATACCATTGAAGTGATTCTAGAAGAACATTGGGAAAAGAAGGGCAAAGGCAAAGAAGAGAACTGGCAGGTGACTAGTTTAGCTTTTCAGAATGTCTGCATTAACTTCTTGAGGGAAAAAAATCTGACTTTATAGAAAAGTATGTATATGTAAGACTTCCTGAAAGAGATTATTGATCTCCTTTCCCCTCTTTTAAAGATTCCAAACCAAACAAAAGAAACACAAATACTCCTGGATCTTCTTCCTGACAGAATTGGGCATGGGACATTTCTGAACTCCTCTGAGGGAGGATCCCTGGATCTGGTCAACTTTGTGAGGCAACACCGGATACCCCTGGGTAAGGAAGGCTGAGGATTCCAGGTCCTCTGGACAACCCTCCGTTCCTAACTTCTTCAGCTGCCAGTTTGCAACCCATATGTAGAAAAGTGCTATTCTGGGCTCTCTCTGGTGGTACAGTGGGTTAAAGCACAGCACTATGAATCACTCTGAAGCCACTGCAGTTCGATCTCTGGCCAGGGAGCTCACCCACATGGCATGGCATACCTCTCCTGATCCATCCACTTCTCCCCTCAGCAGTGTATCGCATTTGATCTGCCTGTCCTGTTCCCTACTCTGTTTCTGGTAAATCCTCTCATTCCCCCCCGCCCCCCCCCCCACACCTCTGGCCTATACCCCAGTTTGTAAGCATAAATAATCAAATCTTTAAAAAAAGAAAAGTGCTATTCAAAGAATATAAATATCATTTTGAAAATGTAAAGGTCATTTAGCTTTACAAAGTTTTAGCTTCCATTTACAATATAAGCTTCATGAGAGAAGAGCCATGTTGTCTCACTCACTGCTAAATCCCCCCATTCCTGGGATTCAGCAAATATTCCATTAAAAACATGAGTCATCTGGTGAAATGACTTTGGCCAGCTTAACCTGTGTCATAGAAATGTGTAACATTTATTTAAAAATTACAAATTATGGAAAATTTCAAGATCTATTTTGTTACGTCTGTTGGCTGTTATGCACTTACGTGTCTACTTGTGTATACTAAAGCTGTTTTTATTTAATATCAAGTATTATAAAGTATTTATGAACATCAAGTATTTATGTTCTAGTCACTACTCAAAGTACTGGAAATAGAGAAGTAAGTAAATAAAACAAAGTTTCTCAATGAACTTACTATCTAGAGACAGTAAATAAACAAGAAAATAACCACATTAAATTCTTTTTTTTAAGATTGATTTATTTATGCATACAAGAACTGGGGTACAAGCCAGAGGTGAAGGGGTGAGAGGATTCACCAGAGACAGAGTAGGGAGCAGAACAGGCAGATGTACTGCAATGCACTTTTGAAGGGAGCAGCAGGTGAGACAGGAGAGATTTGCTGTGCCATGTGGGTCAGCTCCCAGGCCAGGGATCGAACCTGTGCTGTAGTGAATGACTACTAGCTTCACAGTGCTGCAGCTTAACCCCTTGTGCCACTAGGGACGTCCCACATTAAATTCTTTGAAGAAAAAGAACAGGCTCATATTGAGATAACCACTTAACCACTTCTGATGTAACAGAATTTCAGCTCCCATTACAATATAAGCTTCCATACAATATAAGTCAGGGAAAGACTTTCTGACAGGAAAAAAAAAAAAAAATCAATTGATTGAAAACTATTTTCCTGAATGATCCATTTGCTGAATGTACAAATTTACCGTTTTGAAAAAATTACTGTGTGGTGTGTGCTTTTGAACTGTAAGAGTGTTGAGCAGTTTATAATGGGTGAGATTGCTTTTCTTTTTACTAGGGGAATTTTTAAGCATCCATAAAAGTGAATAAAATAGTAATAATCATTTGCCTACAGACCTTACTTGGTATGGCTGTTGGCTCTGCTCCACACAGAACGGTGGGGCTGGTTGGGTTTGCCACCCCTTGGACTCCCTTGTGGTGATGCTGCCTTCCCAAGTGAGCAGACACCATCAATGACACCAGCGGAGTATTTTATTCTGGTCAGGGAGCCTGGCACAGCATTCCAAAGCAGGAATTAGTTCATAGTATAAATCATTCTTCAGGTGGAACTAATCTGCAATAGGCAGTGAATGGATGGTTGTTGGAGTAAAAGTTTAGGGATTTATCCCACTCCTAGGTATCTACCCAAAAGACACAAAAACACTGATTGAAAAAGATACCTGCACCCCCATGTTTATTGCTGCTTTATTTACAATTGGAAAATCATGGAAGCAGCCCAAATGCCCAAAAGTAGATGACTGGATTAAAAAGATGTGGTACACATGGCGTGGCAGACCTCTCCTGACCTGCCTGCTGCACTCTTCAGTAGTGTACTTCGTAGATCTGCCTGTTCTGCTCCCCACTCTGTCTCTGGTGAATCCTCTCACTGTCCCTCTACCTCTGGTTGTATCCCAGTTCTGTATGAACAAATAAATAAATCTTTAAAAAAAATAAAATAAATAAAAACATTTTAAAAAATAAAAATAAAAAAAGGATGTGGTACATATATACAATGGAGTATTACTCAACAACCAAAAAAAAGAAACACATGTGTTTTGCAGCAACTTAGATGGAGCAAAAAAAAATCATGCTTAGTGAGATAAGCCAGAAAGAAAAAGAAAAATACTCCTGCTCATAGCAGGAGTATAATGGACCAGGCAAGAAAATAATAAGAATGAACAGCCATATACCAGAGACATTCTGTGGGGGTGGAGTGGGGAATGGGATCAAATGGGGGGGAGGGGAAGTGCACGGGACTATGGTGATGGCACATGGGTGACTCGGTGATGGGAAACCCACGGGGATTACAGTTGAGATGAAAAAGAAATGTACAAAATGATGTAAAAATAAAATATTATTTAAAAAAATAAAGTTTAGGGATTTCCTTTAAAGCCATGCGAAAAGTTCACTTCTGCTCTTGGCTCTTTCTAATGCTCTAACTTCCAAGCCTTGCTGCCATTTTCCTACCTTTATTTTAGCCTACACTGTAAGATCAGGAAGCAGCCCTTTAAGAATTCCTTCTACTCCCTGTCTTTTTAATGGTGACTGACCTAAAATACCCCTGTTTCCTTTCCATTTTGGTAAAGAAAGGAGGAAACAGATGGCCTATAGGAAATATTCTCTGCCTGATAACAGTAGTTGCCATAAGTTTTAGTACTTCTGCACAGCTACACTGATTGAACTGTAATATTTCACACAAAGGCAAGGTCATTCTTGTCACAGTAGTTCCTCTGAACTACTGTGAATTAGATAGTCTGAAATGATGTCTCATGCATATACTTGGTGTACACTATAGGCATTCACTTACCTACTTTTTTTTGATATATATATACATATATATATATACACACACACACATATATATATGTATATATATATGTATATATATATATAAGAACTTGTGTGTAGGCCAAAGGTGCAGGGAGGTGAGAGGCTTCACCAGAGACAGAGTAGGGAACAGAACAGGCAAATTGAAACACTGCTGAGGGGAGCAGCGGTGAGAGAGGTCTGCTGCGCCACATGGATCACCTCCCTGGCTGGGGATCAAATACAGGCCTCAGTAGCTGGCATTGACTTTAACCCCTCTGCTACCAGGGAAGCCCCCATTTATCTACTTTTAACGAGAGACTTTTTCCTTCTTTCATCTAGAACTTTGTTTAACTTCAAACATCAAAAGTCAGACAGTTCCATCTTATGACCGGCATCATTTTGGATTCTGGTACAGTATTGGCCATCCTTCTGTGATCTGTGTAAGTGTGAAGTCTTTTGCTTCTTTTCATCCCAGAGTTGCATTAGGTCAAACATTCATTACATAGCTGACTGCCTTGCGTACCTGAGGGTGACATTCCAGAGGAGTAGTAAAGAATTGAGGCAGGATAGACTGCAAAGGGCCAGAGTAACTCTGCTTTGGCTTTGTGGGAAAAGGTTCTAGACAGAACCTGGAGGAATCAGAAAAAAATTCTTGCTCAGTGCCAATCCCTTTATTTATTTATTTATTTATTTGATCTGGGGAGAGTCCTGAGCACAGATGTGTTTTCAAAGCCTCTAGGGGATTTTAACATGCAGTCATGGCTCAGGAGCCACTGCTCTGATGCTTTGTCTTTTATAGGAGTAGCAAGTCCTTTTAGGTACAGATTTGCACAGATGTATTTATAGGTTCCTGCCCAGAAGCATAGTAAATTGGAAAATAGACTCCAAACCTGAACTTGTTTTCAATAATAATTTCCTTGTTAATTTTGAAATTTTCTTACTTATATTGTCAGACGGATGATAAGGGTGTTTTTGCAACAAACCTTTCTCAAGAATACCAGCTGGCAGCGGAAACGTTTCATTTGACTCAGTCCCAGGTGTGGAATCTGTCTTATGAATCCATCAACTACATCTTTGCTTCTGACTGTACCAGATCTGAACTGAAGAAAAAGTGGAATCATCTGAAGCCCAAAGTGTTACATTTTTAACCTCTAATGAGGTGAACTACTTTCAAGTATGTGTTGCAACCAAGGTCTTCCTGCCATATCCACTTTTTAAATAAACTGTCTCTTGCTCTTTGAAGCTAGCAGGCAAGTACCATGATTCCTCACTCATGACAGTGTCCAGCATTTATCTTGAGCTGATTCACAGTCTGAGATGTTGGGATAGCTTACTACCTCCAAGCTTATTGGAAGGGACTGAAATGTTGCTGCAAATTTAACTCTTCTTCCACCGGAGAGTTAGACTTAATAGTTTAGAAAACCTGATTTAGAAAACCCAGCTGATTTAGAAATGGCTTTTTTAGAAAAACCAGCCATTTGCTCTTCAGGAAAAGTTTTAGAATTACTAACCCAAATAAAGGGAGGAGTGAGGGCAAAACAGATTGCCACTAAAATCTTCAAACTTTCCAGCTCCTGGTGACAAAAATCTCTGTTATTTTATTGTGCTTCCTTATTCAGACTCCCTTCATGTAAGTATTCCCCAAACAGTTAACCTCAGAATAAATTGGATTTCTGTAAGTGCCAGGTTATTTAATCTACTTTGGGTCATCCTGGTAATGCTAGCTGCTGAGATCTGGTAACTAGCCAGGAATGAAAGCCCTAAGAAAATAATTCATCAAAGGGTGAGAAGACAGAACCTGTTGCAGCTTCTATCACTTTAGCTTTTTCTGTATAGAAACTGCCAGGTTTTCCTCATTCCAAAAAGTCCTCCTGATAGTGGCCACACTTTGGTAATGAGGGTTCTCTGGATCTTTTGTAACTCCAACCATATACACTGTTGCTCAGGTGTCTGTAAAGTCAAATATGTACCATAGCCACTTAAGCTGAAGACAAGAGACAAAGTTAAAGTCTAACTGGCATATATTTTTTAAAGATTTATTTATTTGTGCATACAGACTGGGGTACAGGCCAGCCGTGCAGGGGCAGTGAGAGGATTCACTAGAGACAGAGTGGGAGAACAGGCAGATCTACTGAAGTACACTGCTGAGGGGAGCAGTGGGCGGGTCAGGAGAGGAATGCCATGCCATGTGGGTCACCTCCTTTTCAGGGACCTAATTCATGCCAAAGTGACTGTAGCTAGCTTCGTGGTGTTGCTCTTCAACCCATTGCACCACCAGGGTCCCCTTAATTTTAATGACTAAAGGTGTCTGATAAACTTTGTCTTTAGGGAACAGGGTAGAAGGAAGCCCTCAGGTTTCTGAGGTTCTGTCACATTATATTCTATCCCCATCCAACCATACAGACATTGCATAGTGAAAAAAATTACGGCTTATTCATAAAATGTTAGTATTTTACAGGCACTAAAAGGAAGTGATCACTGTAAATGAAAAATGTAGTCATAAACAATCTTATAATCCATTCTTGTTTAATGCATATGTGTATTTATATATAAAAGCTAGTGGGCTGAGTAATTTTAATTTGTTGACTTTATCATGTTCTGTTCGTCATATAAAAGTTAGTTTAATTTTAAGTAGCTAGTCTTAAGTGGGGCAGCATAAGGACATAAATTTTCCTATTTGAGATTCTAGAATTTAAAGTATATGTAAGTTGGCTGATAGAAAGCATTTATGAAAAACTAACTACTGCCAATAATAAAGGCTATAGGGCTAGGGCAGAAAGAACCAGAAAATATCTCCCCATGTATTACTTGTTAAATAAACCTGGTAAACATACCATAACCAAGAAACAAACTTAACATCTCCAGTATTGGGATGCGCTAACATGTATGCCTCCTACTGTCATGTATTGAGAAAAACCCAACACCCTTCCACAGTATTCTTTTAAAAATGTACCGCCTGGATCTAATTATGAGAAAACAGCACATTAGCCTAAACAGAAGATCATTCTAAAAAAATAATGGGACTATCCTGTTCAAAAATATGAAGCTCTAGAAAGGCAAAGGATAAAATTAAAGTTGACTTATAAATGGCAACTAAATATAAACACATGATCCTAGATTGGATCCTAGACTAAGGAAAAAATATAAGGGAAATAAATAGGACAGTTGAAGAAATTTGGATAGTGTTACGCCATTTCTTAATTTTCTGATTTTTGTATTACAGTTGTATAAGAGAATGCCCTTGTTCTTAATAGGAAATCTGTTGAAAGTGTCTCTCCAGTGTACTCTCAAATTATTTTTTTAAATGCACGTTGCACACACACAGAATAAACAGCAAATGGGTAAAATATAAATAACTGACAAATCTGAGTATACAGGAATTCCTACTTTTGAAACTTTTTGAAATTAGAATATCAAGATAAAGTTGCAAACAAGACCTAGGAAGGTAGTTGGATAGACTTACTGATAAAAACAGGCCCTCTGAAACTATTCAGATTCCTTCAGTGATGTGCCATCTTGAAATATAGCCCCTCTTCCACCAATGATACCAGGTAACCCTCTGCATACATCCCACTTTTGTCTTTAAATCACTGTCTTATACTTATCTAGTCACCACTGCAGCTGCTATCTTTGCTTTTGGTTTCCAAGTGCATACATAGCTTGCATCTTACCTATATTTCAAGTGAGACCAGACACGTGTGTAAATGACCTCGGTGCAGCTTTATTTTGCACACATGAGTTGCACATCAAGTCCACTAAGCTCATTAGATCTTGGTGCAGTCCTTTAATGTTGCTTCCTCACTTATCCGTTAGAAACTCTCAGTGTCATCTTTGAGCAATGAGAAATTTGAGAGGTCTCAGAAATAATCAGGTGATTAGTGACTTACAGTATGAGTCATTGGTATATAGATCTTCCTCTCTAGAATGGAGGTGGTGGTGGGAAGGTGTCAAAATATTCATAAATTGAACTCTACTTAAGTAATTTGACCTTAGGTCTTTTTAAAATAAGACTAGCTCTCCATGTCCAGTTATGATGGGTCCTAATGGACTGTTACAAATTATATGGATACCAAGGAAGAATTTTCATTCTCTCTTTTTACCACATTCTAATTTGTTTTCTGCCTAGAAAATAAAAATTGAAACAAACATACCTCTATTAATTCACAAAGGGAGCCCAAAAAAGCAGGTGAAGATTTATCTTTTCTACTAGTGGCAACTTAATCATAATTTGCATTTACATATTTAAAAAAAAAACTTGAACAATGGACTCTTTATAGACATAATTTTTATTAACATAGTATCCCTGAGAGGCAGATTAAGGTATAAACATAAATCTGCTTTACAGAAAGAGAATGGAAGCAGGTTGACTTACACACAAGACATCTGGAAACCAGTATTCATAGAGGTTACTACCCCAAACAATGCTTTCTCCAAGACTACATAGATATACTAGATAGTCATCTCTTTAAAAAAAAAAAATTATAGCACACTTCCTAAGTGTCTCAGAACCTGAGACATTGCTTTAAGATTGGTATTTCTTATACTGTCTGGTTTAGTCAATATAATTGAAATACCCTCTTAATTCCTAATACATGTAAGAATATTCTTTGTACTAGGTAGGATCCCTCAACACCACAACCCTAATGCTTTATTTAACACAGTATGCTATGAATTATAGAATATTCTATCTCCCCACTTCTCTCCCAGTTCTCATTCCAGTCACAGAACTCCAAATACGAGTACGAACAACTACACATCTCAGGACTCAGCCATCTGCTCACTCACCTTTCCTCTGACCTGCCATAAAAGTATTTTCAAACTTTGGCTCTCATAGAAGTTAGTCCCCTAAAACTGCTCATTTGTCTTCCTAAGTGCTAGCCGATGTTTCCTTATCATTAAACATGGCACAATGTCCAATTTACTATAGCTGACTGGAACTTGACCTCTTGGTCTGCCTCTGGCACTCCATGTTTCAGCTAAGGCGATTTTCTCACTCCCTTCTGCATAGCCCATATCACACTATTCCTCCAACTTTTGTCTTACCTTTCTTGTAGTCTATCCTTTGCCCGCTGCTCCATCTACACGAAACACCTTGTGCCAAAATTTTTCTCGTTTCTCACCTATTCAGCATTCAGTTTTGCCCCAATTACCCAGTCACATCCTGCTAATCACTTCCTGTACATGAAACCTTCCTAAATAAAAAGAACTCCCAGATTTTTCTTACAGTAAACTCTATAGCATTATACCATAACATTTATGTGGTGTTATTATCTTACTTTGTAAATTTCTCCAAAACCGTTGCAACTATACATAAGTACCCTCTGATTGTCATGTCAGTGTCTTCCATTTCAGAGTGTAATGACAAGAATGAGGTTTTTTTTTTTAACTTGTGCTCTACTGGGTTCATTATACTCATGTGAACATAAAGGCAACAATCCAGTACTATTTAATTATAAAAATTTGTGTTTGAAGGGTTGCTTGTAAAATAGATTTTATAGTTGTATATGTGCATGTACATGGGTGAGTACTGGCAGTTCTACTGATCAGAGATAATTTGAGTTGTTGGCACAAAGTGTTGTTTTCCCAATCAGTGGGAATATGGCAGTGGCTTCTGCTTATTGTGGGTTATTACTGAGTGCCTATGGGGTGCATCATAATAGACCAGGTGTTTGGAATATGTGCATTCCCTACTAGCTGCTTTAACTGCTTTCTTGATCACTGTGTCCAGCTAGCTTATTCTCTAGGATTCTAGATCACATGGGACAGATAAACTTCAGCTGAGATAGGATGGGGAAAAAAATTAATACTAAATGCTATAAATATACTGCTATTGCTCTAGTCCCAATCTTTTAGGACTTGGATAAAACAAATCCAGGGTTCACACCTCAGTATATATAGAAGGTATACATTGTTTCCTGACATAGAACACCTAGTTTCTTGACAAGATAATTCATAGGTCTGAAGCAAGAATAACATTAAACTCTGTTAGTACATGAAGAGAGTATGTGATATTCTCAGAGTATGTTATTCTCAGTAGAGGCTTAAATGAACAGTCACTGTGTTTTGTATTTGTTTTTGTATAAAGAGTTAAGCCCACTCAGTGAGAAAAATCTCTTCTCCCTGAAATGCTGCTGTGATGGGGTTTTCAAGTCAAAATGAAGATGATTAACAAGGAAGGAAGGCTATTACTTTAAACTCATAGGATCTACTACTATGTCCTCTGCTGGATTAAGGGATCAACCGAGGCACTGCGAGGAAAAAGTGTTATCTATGCAGGCAAGGAGAGGGACTGAAATTGTCCCTTCATTCTTAAAATCACTGCCTTGGGAGATCAGGAGAAACAGGAACAGCCAGTGAGGTAAACCCTAAAGAGTATTTCCTAAGCTAATTGGACACAGAATAGGGAGTTACATCTCACTATTGGAAGACTTTCCAAACAACACACTTATTGAGGCTCTTTTCTTTAGAGAGCCTCAGGGGCTACTTAAGGTGCTGACTGTGCCAGAAGCTTTTCTCGTGCATGGATTTCTCGGTGTTTATTAAGAACAGAACTTTTACTGAAGCACTTGCCACAGTCATGACACCTATAAGGTTTCTCTCCTGTATGGGTTCTATGATGTGCACGTAAGTCAGAACTCTTACTGAAACTCTTCCCACAGTCAGGACACACATGGGGTCTCTCTCCTGTGTGTATCCTCCGATGTGCACTAAAATGAGAACTGTTATTGAAGCTTTTTCCACACTCTTCACACTGATAGGGCTTTTCTCCGGTGTGAGTTCTCTGGTGAATTATAAGACTTGAGCTCTGATTGAAGCGTTTTCCACACTCACCACATTGATAAGGTTTCTCTCCTGTGTGGATTCTTCTGTGGGTAATGAAATTTGAGCTGTCACGGAAACTTTTTCCACAGTCAAGACACTTATAAGGTTTCTCTCCAGTGTGGATTCTCCGATGTCTAATGAGACGTGCACTCCGACTGAAGCTTTTTCCACAGTCAGCACATTTATATGGATTTTCCACTTGATGGGATAGCTGATGCATGAGGTGGGAGTTTGGACCAAAGCTTTTGCCATATCTGAGATACTTATAGGGTCTCTCTCCTAAGTAAGGTCTCTGATGACTTAGGACTTTACCTAAACTCCTCTCTGGGAGTGCTGGTTTTCCTTTCCTTTCCCCTGGGGTCTTTTCCCACTGTCTTCCTGATTTACATCCACTCTCTTTACCCTGGTTAAAGTAACGGGGAATTTTTCTTTCAGACCTTGCAAGTAATGTCCTATGCAGTTGTACTTCTTCAGAAATATCCCGTTTTAGATTCTCTTCATTCTCAAATCCAGCCTCAAAACCTGATAAGAAAATAGAATTTTAAAAGTTATCCATTTCCTCAATTATATGTAACAGAGTAAAGCAAGTATCACATTAGCTGATTAAAGATAAAGTGTTAAGAAGCTCTAGACCCCAAATAACTACCATCTACTATTAAAATTCCAGTGTTAAGGTTTTCTACTTGGTAGAATATCACATGTTCCTCATCTACATAGGGGCTAATTATTCTGTTAACCTTTATTGAATACCCATAATATTCAGAAAATCTTTTCAGTATAGTGAAAAACTAGATGTAAGATAAAACCTTCACCATGTTTATACAAGGGAAGCACTTAATAATGCTGTGTTTTTGCCTTATTTTGGGCCTGTCATGGTATTTTAATGTTCTTTACTAATAACTTAAGTGGATTAGTAGAGAATACTCAGGAAAACCTCTGGGGAATATTCTATATCCAAAAAGAACTGTAGGAGTCTCCTCTTCTTCAAATTAAAATAAATATTGAAAATATAAATAGGATGAGTGTTTCAAAGAACAAAAGGCATTCTGAGAGAGGAACTTTGCTAGAAAGTTTCTCTCTAAAATTTTCTCTTTTCTCATGGAAAAATAATCACTAAATGTTCCAAAAGCACACTCTAATGCCCAACCTACACTTTTAACACTCTTCTAAGAACCAAATGATGGGTTTCCCTGGGTCTAGATTATGAGAATTTGCAAATGCTTGTAGATTTTCATTTTGAATTTGCAGAATTTTAAGATGTTTTAGATAAACTCTGGATCCCAGATTCCTTAGATTATGATTACAAAAGACTACAAGAGTATCAGCCTTTTTATGTACTCCCTAAAATAGTATTTCTACCCAGAGTCCAGTTTTATGAGATACCCTATAAAAAGATTCATTAGATTAAATGAAATTTCAGAAGCTTAAATAGGTGAATATACATTGTGAACTTAACATTTTCTCAAACCCAGACACCAATTTCCACTGGAAAATATTAATACTTTATGAACTGCTGAAGAAAGCTGATCTAAAGAACTTTTAGAGGGCCCTCCCCGGTGGTGCAGTGGGTTAAAGCACAGCACTATGAGACCATACGCAGCCACTGCAGCATGAGTTCAATTCCCCACCAGGGAGGTGACCCACATGGCATGGCAGACCCCCTCCTAACCTGCCTGCTGCTCCACTCAGCAGTGTTTTCAGTTGATCTGCCTGTTCTCCTCCCTACTTTGTCTCTGGTGAATCCTCTCACCTCCCATACCTCTGGCCTGTACCCTAGTTCTTGTATGCATAAATAAATCAATCTTTAAAAATATAATAAAGAACTTTTAGGGGGAAAAGGCCTATTAATTGAATGCTTACTATGTGCCCAGGCACTACTATACTAACTACTTCACTATGGTACATCACTTAACATCAACTTTGTGAGGTAGGTCTATATAAGCAAATTTACAAGGTGAAAGACTTAGTCTAAGTCATTCTGCTAATAAACAGCAAAGCCTGGTTCACATACATACATATATATATATATATATATATATATATATATAACAGACTCAAAAATCAGAATTCTTCCCACAGGAGGGAAGTCATAGTGAAATTTGTTTTTTTCCCCTTAAATTATAGGTAAGGTTCAAAGGGTCAACTCCTTCCGAAATTTTAGAATTGTAAGAAAGTATGTTTAAAGAAAAACGTTATCTGGTTTTCAGATATGTGGTTAAAACAAGTGTCCAGCTGAAATTGGAAGAAAAAGAATGAACTTTTAAAATCTAATTCATCCTACTATGGGTATATAACATGCTACTTGGGAAATGTTAGCTTTCAGAATCCCTGCTAAGATAAATGCTTAGAAGCCTAGTAGCTCATGTGTAGTCAGCAAACTTACAAAGCTTGCAGCCACCTCAGATTGATGTCATGGAGGCAAGGCACATGAATAATTTATGTTACCTCACTGCTTTGGTAGACAGGAACTGTGAGGACGAGATAAGGTAGTCAAAGTAACAATACATGAGAGCTGTTATCGAAGCCAGTTCGCCTTGGTTTCAATCTGTTGGTTTTTACATAAATTCCACTGTGTCTCCCTTGTTAGATTTTAAAAGTAAAAGAATCTTACCACTGGGGCTCTGGAATAAGACTGGAGCCCGGATCATGACAGCCCCCGGGGGTACCTCAGTATCCTCCTCTTCATCATCAGAATCTTCTGTGGCCTCCTCTGCCTCCTCAGCTTGCATCACAGCTTCAGCCTCACTGGTTTGAATAGGGCAAGAAACTTTGATTTCCTGACCATCACTGGGTGGGGCAGATGCCCGGGCACTCACCAAAGCATCCATCTCTTCAAAGAAGGGACAGGTTTCTGGTGCTTGGCCATTCTTAACTTTCCGATAACTAGTCTGTAGGCTTTTAAACTTGGTCCGACATTGCTCTGGTGTCCTAAGGAAGCCATATTCCCATAGCCGCTCAGCCACTGCTCCATACAACTGGCTGTTGCGGTGACAGTTCCGGAGGGATTCATAAAATTGAGTCTCACTAAGAATTGCAAGGTAAGTCTTGGTCTCCTCATAGCCCCAGTGTACACCTGCCACCAGAAGAGAAATTTCAACATCACTTAATTCAGGACTTTAGAGCTTCAATTCTTTAATCCTCCATTTGTATCATAGAAAATCACCTAACCTTGTGTTTCTAGATGAAAAAATAAAAATACTTCATGTTTCCAAAATGTATGCATTATAATCAGTTGTTTTCTATATATGTGTGTGTATGTATGTATGTATGTATGTATATATAATCATTAGAGAATGTCTTGCTTCTCTAGAGCCTGTACCTCCTTTATAGACAACCTTTCTGTATTCTGTTTAGCCATATTAAAAAAAAAGGCCTTTCTCACTTATCACTGAAATAATCATTACATACATGATACAAGTAAGTAAGTATAGAAGTTCTCCATCCTTCTAGCTTTTTCTGGAATTCTTTAAATTCTAGAATTTAGTAAATAACTGGTCAGGGGAAAAGATCCACAATCAACTGCTCTTTGTTACAATAAGTCATCCTAACTTTGCTAAGTATTCTTTTTCCAGTAGATCTACTCCTCATCAATTAAGTTTCCTAAAGAATGACTCAAAACCCCAAGTAAGAGCCTCTTTCAGAATCACACTGCTGCCATATCCCTATAACGGCACTTCACCTACCATAGCTTCAGAAAAACAAGACCTGAGAATACAAGAAGAACTGACAATCATGCACCTAATCCTTAGGAGAGGATTGGCGGAAGCCAGAAGAGGAAAGAAGCAGGACAGGCAGCATCTTAGCCTGGATACATGCTAATGTGGCAGCTTCCTGGCTCCCCCTCACAGTTGGTCAGTCTTTCATCAGAATGATTATAGACACTTGGGTACCTGCTCCCTGAAGTTACCCAAGTTAGAGGGAAGGGTATCCAAATAGTTTTCCTCCCAATTGAGAACCAGCTGGCCTCCATTATCCTCACTGTGAGTAAAAGGAGAGGGGAAAGAATCAAAAACAATGAAAGAACAGATAATGAAACAGCAGCTAGAACATGTGCCACACAGTAGTTTACATAGTTATTCCAATGACAGGAAAAGAATGAACAAAAAAGAAGAAAAAGTGAAAATTAGATCAGAATTAAAGTAACCATCACACATATAATAAAAAATGACCACTGTTAAAAGTGAAACCTCAGCTGCATAAGTCTGCTGCTGTGCCCCATTTTACAGTAGAGGAAACCCACTTTGGAATGGTAGGTGACTGTCCAAAGTCACCCAGCTGGTTAGTGGTCGTCAGAATCAAAGCCTCCTGACTAGTGTTCTTGCTAGTCAAAAATGGCTGTATAGACTTTATTAAAAATAATAAATGATACTTAGAAACCAGTTCTAAAAGCAAATGTTTCATCATAGAGTATGAAGCTTTCGGGCTGCATGGCTTTTCAGTTAAAATGCCAATGTATTATGTAAAAATAAACTGTTACAATAAAAAAAATGCCAATGTATGTTGTGAATATCAAAGAAGATACTTATGTTTTCCCAACTTTGGGACATCTTTCACTATACTATTCTAAGTTAAAAGGAATACAAATTAGGGCCTTCTCTGGTGGCGCAGCAGGTTAAAGCACAGCACTAAGAAGCTTAAACCCCTTCTGCATGAGTTCGATCCCTGCCTGCCCCGGAGGTGATCCACATGGCGTGGCAGACCTCTGCTGGCCCGACCGCTGATCCCCTCAGCAGTGTACTTTGTCGATCTGCCTGTTCTGCTCCCCACTCTCTCTGGTGAAGCCTCTCACCCTCTGTACCTCTGGCCTATGCCCCAGTTCTGTATGAATAATTAAAAAAAAAAAGGGAATACAAATTAAACTTGGGGAGTAAAAGGTAAAGCACCAAGTTCAGAAAAGGTGCTCAATAAATATTCTTTTTAAAAATAATGTCAGGTTTCTTAGTGAACTTGCAATGATTTTATAATCAAGAAAAAATGTTTTAAAATGGCAGGAATGATATTCCTTTTGAGGACTTTTGAATTTTCTGTGTATTTTTTTTTTAAAGATTTATTTATGCTTACAGAAGTGGGGTACAGGCCAGAGGTATGGAGGTTGGAGGAGTGAGAGGTTTCACCAGAGAAACAGTGAGAGCAGAACAGGCAGGTGTACTGAAGTACACTGCGGAAGGGAGTAGTGGGTGGGTCAGGAAAGGTCTGCCAGCCATGTGGGTCACCTCCCTGGCTGGGGATGGAACTTGTGCAGCAGTGGCTTCAGAGAGCCTCATAATGCGGTGCTTTAACCCATTGTGCCACCAGGGAGAGCGCCCATGTGTATTTCTTTTTAAGTAACAAAGAGGGCAGTTGAAATTAAGCCTGACTCCACAGCAAGTGTCATTACTTCTCAAGTGTAATCCCAAACCCCTAGAAGAAAAGCTCCTTACCACTTGGGCTTCGGAAAAGGACAGGTGCTGTTGATTTATCAGGGTCCTGAAGGGTGGCCTCCTGGTCCATTTCGTCACTGTCAGACCCCTCAGCTACAGCCTCTTCTGCTCCCTCCTCATGCTCCCAGCCCCCTTGCCCTGGCTCCTCAGACTCAGTATCTCTGCCCACCAGGCCAGAGTGAGAGGCTGCCTCTTCCAGGCCATTACTGGGTAGGGCAATGACCTGAGCACTCATCAAGGCTTCCATCTCTTCAAAGAAGGGGCAGGTCTCAGGAGGGTGTCCACTCTTGACTTTTCGATAGCTCTTCTGGAGACCTTTGAACTTGGTCCGACACTGTTCCAGGGTTCGGAGGAAGCCATATTCCCGGAGTCGCTCAGCCACAGCCCCATACACTTGGCTGTTTCTATGACAGTTCCGGAGAGCCTCATAAAACTCAGTCTGACTGAGAATTGCAAGAAGAGTTCTAGTCTCTTCATAGCCCCAATGCACACCTGCCACCTTCTCGTCCTCAAAGCCCCATTGCTCCTGTTCCACCCAGCTTCTCCTCTCTCTCCTAGATGGTAACAGATCAGCATGCATTCGTTTATCTCCTATGTGACTGCTGCTTGGGCGTTCCTTCTCCTTGGAGCCCAGATCTGGAATCCATGGCTGTCCTTGCTCCAATCTGGAGACCACACCGGATTTAGGATATGGAAATCCTGCTTGCAGGAAAACAAACAAAGGATATCATAGTTTGGACTGATCACAAAATATCTTTGCATTCACACCCACTTTCTTTTTTATCCAAGAGATTTATAAAGAAACTGCCTAAGTAAATGTTTTTGAAAACTTCAGTGGATTGAAGGAAGAGGAGAGAATTATGTGAAACCTTAAGAAAAGAAATATTTTCTCTTCTAGAGCAGGGCAGCATGAGAGGAAAGGTTTCTGTTGTGTGATCAGAGCAGATACTTATATTCCAAATTGGTCCCTAGTCCTCCTTATCAATTATAGGCAGATCTGGTGCTGTTGGGAACAGTCAATTCCTGTCTCCTGTATTACCACCTAGGGTTAGAGAACTAAACTCGAGTAATTTTGGAATGTGAGGAGGGGTGATATTGTCTTCAGCTCATTGGCTTGCTTTACATAATCAACAAGTTCTAAAGTTTTTCCTCTATGTCCAACTCCATTCCTACTGCCAACATGCAAATCAAGATTCCTTATCCTCTCACATCCAGATAACTGTGGCAGTTACTGTCCTCCCTAACTCAGGCTTACATCCTCAGCACACATGCTGTACTGCTGATCTTTAATTAGAGTGCTTACCAGGCACTGTCTTTTCATGTTAGATTCTCCAGAACATAGCACACTTTTATTTACCACTCTCTGATTTTCCTGTAACTCTTCCTCCCATCCAAATTTAACCCATCTTTCAGGAAGCTGACTTCCCCCAGGTAACCTTCCCTACAACCTTCCTTCATCTCCACTCCGCTAAAACCCTACTGTACTCAATTGAGTTTTAACAAGTCATTGTTTGGCACTGTTCAGATACAGTTCAGTTTAGCACATATTTATAATTTTCTATTACATTCTCAATCACTTTGTGATCTCTGAGGAAAGGCAACTTATTGAGGTATTCTTCTGCAATGTGTGTACACCTGGTAAGTGCTCAAAAACATTAATTCCTTAAGTATGTATGTTCTTATCACACACACACAAAGTAATGATCCAAGAAAAAACATACAAAATGGACTTCCACAGAGTACAAATAAGAAAAACAAGTTCTCCAAAATCAAATACAAGAATAAGCACCAGGCACAGAGACAATGGGGAAATCTTAAGAGTCCTGGGAGCTACCTGATGAACACTAATCATCAAATTGGGGAGCTATATTGGCAGAAAATGTAGTAAAATTCTGAAGTAAAATTTTTACTCTGCTTCTGCTAACCAGACCCTCATTGGAATAAAATTGTGTGCTATTTAAAGATCTTAAAGGTTCCAAGGGAGACTAACAAAAACTTAGGTCTGAAGAATGGAGCTTTTGGGAAAAAGCTTAAAGAAACAGTTCAATCTGGAGAAGAAAAATGACTGAGAGAGAGATTATGCCCTTCAGTACAGAAAGGAATTTTTATCTAGAAAGTAGAGAGACTATCATTACCAAGAAGAAATAAAATAGTTCCAAGTTCTGATAAAAACTAGGGAGCCATCCTGTGGTAGACTTAAAACAGTAAACTACATGCCTTCAAGAGGTCCCCAACAACCATATTCTACAATTTTCATTCACTTCTAAAACCCCTTTCCCACTCACTACTCCCAACCCTATTCCCAGCTTAGAATGGCATCCTATCTTCCCATATGAATCTACTCCTCACCGCTCCTTTGAAAAGGTCTGAGCTTCTCCTTTGTGTTCATCTGCTCCTGTGGTCCCAGGTCTGGGCTTCTTGCCCTCTCTTTCTTGGTTACATTCTTGGTTACACCCCGGCACTGGGGTTCCACTGACTCCTGCCGAACACTTAATAACTCTCGTGATGATTTCAGGGGTGTCATCTTCTCCAAGTGCACTTCCTGCCCCTTCACAGAGACTGTAACCTAGAAACAACTCCCATTAATGGTCACTGCAAGGTTATAATGAGGGGCATTCCCAGAGGAGATTATTTAATACCCCAAGAGAGAACATCCTTCCAGAAAATGACTAGGGTAGGGGGAGGGCCGGGATTACTACAAATAAGCATCTTTCTTATACCATTACTGTTAGTTTAGACCAGCTGAAACTGCAGAAGATCAAAATAGTAAACCCAATGCTAAAGTAAAAATAATCCCACTTCCTTCCCTATTAAATTATGCAACTATTAAAAACTTATGACAGAGTAGCGAAGGTGAACTTCAGCATCTCCAGCTCTATCTGAAAAAGTTACCTGTCCCAAGAGCAGAAATGTAAGCATTACCAAGGAAGACTATGCCCCTCTTTAATCCTGTCTATATCTTAATTTGACCCTTTATCCTTGCCCCTTCCGACTCACACACTTCTAAATTCCCTCTCCCTTCTCACCGAACGTCCAGGTCTTCCAGGCTCTCTTTCTAAATCTTCCACCAGAGCCACTGCCTCCTCTCCATTTTCTGGACATTGCTCCTGTACCCAGTTCTTGATCTCGCAAGGTAAGATGGTCAGGAACTGCTCTAGCACCAAGACTTCTACAATCTGCTCCTTGGTGCGCACCTCGGGCCTTAACCACCGACAACAAAGTTCCCAGAGCTGGCTGAAGGCCTCTCGGGGCCCAGCTACCTCCTGGTAGTGAAATCTCCTGAAGCGCTGTCGGAAGGTCTCAGCGTTAGTGCCATTCCCTTTCAGAGTGGGTTTGGCCATCATCCACAGTAACAGCAGCTCCCCTCCACTTAAAAAAGAGTCTAGGTTCCAGAGTTTACAACTATCTTCCCGTATCCTCGGAGAATCACCTGCAGATGAGTCTCTGTAAGAAGAGTTTCCTCCTAGGGCAGAGAGAGATGGCACTATCAGAAAGACTATACTTATACATTTAGTCTTGCCAGAGCTGGCCTGACTTCCCATATGCTCCAAGTGGCCATGTGAGGTAGTACCAACTTCAGAACAGCAACACTGAGCACGAAGGAGAGAGACCTTTCAAAAGCGGCATTTCTGGGCGACTTCCACTACTGCCCCGGAAGCGGCAGCTAATATAAAGTACAGTCTGCTGCTTTTCCACCTCCCGCAAATCTGAACCCACACAGCTCTCCTGACCAATACTGCATAAAGACTTCAAACCCTGTGAGAGACCTGGGGCTGACGAGTATCTAAAGGCAAGTGACCACTGTGCCGAAGGCAACAAACGCCTCTGTCCAGCGGGTCGCAGCTGATCTCCCCGCGTCCCTCCGCAGTGCTTCCGAGGCCCCCTACGTCTGCCCCGCCCCCTCGGACTCCACAACTCCCAAGTCCCTCCCGGAACAGAAACCAAGTACTGAATATTGGGTCTTTGTTTCCCTCACAACAGGAATAGCCGCTCGGCAAAGATTCGGGAACTACTGAAGGGAAATCTCTCGCGTTGGGAGAAGTTTGGTTTTGGCTCCAGAAACGAGGGCCAGGGGAGTTTGGGGAGAATCACACTGAGTTGGTGGCGAGGGAGTCCAAGGGGCGGCAGGAAAGAGACTCCTGAGAACGGCCGAGTGCTGCGAGCTTCACCGGCTGGGAGCTCAATTCAAGCAGCGTAGGATGCGGAGTTCCGGCCTCTTTGTCTTCACTCCCTCCGGCCAGGTCACTCTCAGAGCCGTCCTGCAGTCCCGCCACAGGCCTCCGACTAGGCGAGGCGCCCAGAGGACATCCTCCTGCCCAACCCTTGGAGTGTCTCCCTCTAGATCAGTCCCTCAACCCACTCGCATCTCTGCCCCCGGGCCAGCCTCACCCACTCGGGGTCCGGCCTCAGCCCGGGATCTCCAGACTCCCAGTCCAGCTCCCAAACCGGAAGTCCGAGCGTGCGACTTGGGCACTAAGGGCGCATGCGCAAAAGCATTGGTGGCGACTCAGTCTCCTTCCGAGCCCCGGCGGGAGCTGGCGGGTGGGCCCAGCAGAACACAGCACACTTCCGGGACGCGGCGCGCCGACCCCTTCCCGGCTTCCCGTCCTCTCCTTCTGCCGCACTTGTCTCGGCGCGTACTTCCGAACCAGGCGCGCGACCCAGGAACCAGTACGCCGGTCAAGCAGGGAGCTTTTGCCTCCGCGGTCGCCTGCTGAGGCGCTGGAGGAGGTGGCGACGGGTCTGAGGACTCGAGGTCCACTGTGGGAATGATCCACGAACTGCTCCTGGCTCTGAGCGGGTACCCAGGGTCCATTTTCACCTGGAACAAGCGGAGTGGCCTCCAGGTACTGTCCGGCTCAGAGCGCGGGAACTAGCGAGCGCGAAAGAAGCGGACCAGAGCCTGTGACCCGGGAGCTGAGGCGCGAGGGGGCGGGGCTCGCAGGGACCCGAGCGTTGGGTCGCCGCGGCCTGGGCTGGTGATGAGGGTGGGGGGCGGTGCCCGAGCGACCCTCTCAGAGCCGCGGGCCTAGGCTGAGGGGGACCCGGTAAGGTTCTGAGGCCAAAAAGGAAGAGGGAGCCGGGAACCTGGCCTGAGATGAGGTGTGTGAGCGAGAGTCTCCGAGGGCCTGGAGATAAAAGTAAGACAGGCACTCGCCCATTTTCACGCTTGCACTGTTTTTAAACTTAGCTTTGAGGGCTGAGCCAAACAACGCATATCACTGAGGTTTCATTCAGTTTTGCCCAATGAAAATGAGTAAAAGCTGTGTTTACGCCTTTCCTGGGAAATTTCTGCGCTAGGAGAATTTGCAAAGAGGCCTTCATGTAATCAGGAGTGTATGAGGAGTAAGGGCTTTATTGTGTACATTTTCTCGTCTAGTTTTCACAACCATCTATCTCCATTTTACAGATTACTCTAGACTTAAAATGTGAAATAACTCGCAGCATCACTTACCTAGTAATTAGCGAAATTAGTGTTGAACTGGTTCCAGTGTTTGAATTACTTTTTTTCCCACTCTGCTTCAGTTAATACTAATATTACTTGTAATGCTAATACTAATACTCTGAATAACTTAGCGACTTAGGTATTATTAGCCTCAGTTTACAATTGAGCACACCGAATCTCAGTGGCTAGTACCCAAATGTCCAGTTTTGCATCTAGCACTGTCTGATGAAGGAATCATCAGTATTCCTGGGCTGGGACAGTTGGCATTATATGCTGTGAAAGATCAGAATAAAATTACACCTTAGGCCCTCCCTGGTGGCCCTCCCTGGTTAAAGCACAGCACTAAGAAGCTAAAGCCACTTCAGCATGAGTTCAATCCCCTCCCCAGAACTGACCGGCATGGCAGCAGACCTCCCCTGACCCACCTGCTGCTCCCCTCAGCAGTGTACTTCCGAGATCTGCCTGTTCAGCTCCCTGCTTTGTCTCTGGTGAATCCTCTCACCCCCTCTAACCTCTACCCCAGTCCTGTATTCATAAGTAAATAAATCTTTTTTAAAAATTACATCTTAGTCTATAACACCTACATATAGTTCCAACAGTTTATTTTTGCCGGAGCACTTGTATTTCTTGCGAGCATTGTGTGTCTGGCACATGCGCTTTACATCTATTAACTTATTTTAATCCTCACAATATTTATAGATCTGAAAACTGAGATTCAGAGAGGTAATATAATTTGCAAAAGATTTCAAACCAGTAGAGGACAACTCAGACCCAGGCAATCTGGCATCAAAGACCAGGTTCTTAATCACTATGTTATGTTACCTTTCCAGTTATTAACCTGATGATATAGGGAGGGTTGATTGTGTCAGTGAAATCTACATAACCTGAATTCCTAAGCAAATTACTGTGGACTAAGTAACAGCAAAATTCTTCTTTTCCTATTTATTACGTTATATACTGTCATATCAACATGACATCCATAAAATAGAGTATTCACTATGTGAGGCTGTGATATGCTAAGTTCCTTGGAGGTAGTAACTATCACTTTTTGGTCACTGTTTTATCTCAGAATGTTAGCACAGTGCTTGGTATAAACAGGAGTTCATTAAAGTTAGTTGATTCTTCAAAGAAGATACACAGTAGTCTGTAAACAAAATGAAAAGATGACCAGTATGACTAATCATTAGGAAAATACAAATGGAAAAACTAAGTGAGATACTACAAAATGCCCATTAGGTTGGTATTTTTTCAGTTATCCAGCAATTACACTTCTGGTTATACACTAAAAAAGAAGGTAAAGCATAGAGTCAAACAGTTATTTGGCACCTATGCTCAGAACATTATTCACAGTAGCCAGAAGCAACCCAAGCGTCCATCTACAGATTAATATATAAAATGTGGTAGGATGCATTTGAAACACTCCAGGGACCTGCATGCAGTAAATTGCAGGTGTCAGTGTCTCTAGCATTGTTCTTCTTCCTGCAGGTGTCACAGGACTTTCCATTTCTCCATCCCAGTGAAACCAGTGTCCTGAATCGACTCTGCCGGCTTGGCACAGACTATATTCGCTTCACTGAGTTCATTGAACAATACACAGGCCATGTGCAGCAACAGGTAGGCTGCTGTTATCATTGAGTCCTCCCTCCAGAAGGTAGGACCTTTGACTTTCAGTGGATTCATTAGTAATCACATGAAATAACTCTTGAGAAGCTATGAATTTTTCATTACTGGAATTATTTAAGTTAAAACCAGGTGAATGGGTGAATGTACCTTAAGGATGGGAAAATAGATACAGGAACCAATTCAGGAAGATTGGTATAAGAGAACATATACTTGAGAAAATACACTGAGTTTTAGGAAAACTGAATAAAATCAGTTCAAGCTAAAACAGAGTTTGAGAGATGAAAATATAAAGCATTATTTTTTATTCTGCTTCTAACTAGTAATGTTAAGGTAAGCACTAAATTTCTGGACTTCATTTTTCTTATTTGTAAATAAATGAGTTAAGCCAGAGAAGGTGTTCGACACATAGTAAGTACTTAATACATATTATACATTAATATAAATTAATTGGAAGTATACACAATATTTCATAATTCTTATTAAATTATGTAGTGGGCAATGATTCTATCTCACTCCTTTGTAGTAACTTAATGCTCAATAGTCAATTATCTTTTCTACAAAATGGAGATAACAGTACCAATCTCATGTGATTGTAACACTTAAACAAGATGTACCGTGTACATAATTAAGTACTCAGATTCTTTTAAAAAAGTTTAAAATTCTTTTATTTTTAGTTCTGTCAATGTAAGTAAAAAGAATGGTGAATTATCAACTCTCCTTCAGTGATACCTACAGTCAGGCATCTCTTGCTTACCTTCTGTTCACCAATAGACTACACAAACTAAACCATGTAGCCTAAGGGTTCAGTGATCAATACCACCTACGTTTGTGTATTATACACTATGACATTCGCGAAGTGATGAAGTTGTCTGGTGATGCATTTCTCAGAACATATTCCCATGGTTAAGCAACACATGATTCTTTTTCTCAATTAAAAACTGGTTTTGATAGAACTTCTAGAAGGAGGACTTCTAGAAAGGATGTTTACTGAAAGAAAGTAGTCTTCTAGCCCCTGATATGTAAAATTGGCCTTTGGCAATAATCTGTGCAGCAAAAGAGTTGGAGATTGAAGCCTTATGTTTTTATCTCTGCACCTGGGATTCTGGTTCTTTCAAACTGACTTGATTATAGAGACAATACACAGCTAAACATAAGTTTAAAATTTAACCAATGCTAATTTTCTTTGAAATCATATTGAAGGCACACTTAATTATCAAAGGAACCTGCAGATAGATAGATAGAACTGGAGTATAGGACAGAGGTGCAAGGGCTGTGAGAGGATTCACCAAAGACAGAGTGGGGAGCAGAACAGGACAACTGACAAAGTACACTGCTGAGGGGAGCTGCGGGTGGGTCAGGAGAGGCCTGCCACGCCATGTGGGTCACCTTCGGGGCTGGGGATTGAACTCGCACTGAAGCAGCTGTGGCTAGCTTGCAGTGCTGTGTCCTAATCTGCTGCACCACCAGGGAAGGCCTATATATAGACTTTTTAAAAAAAGAAACCTATAGTTTTAGGCCTTCCCTGGTGGCGCAACAGGTTAGGACTCAGCACTGCAAGCTAGCCACAGCCGCTTCAGTGCGAGTTCAATCCCCAGCACCGGAGGTGACCCACATGGCGCGGCAGACCTCTCCTGACCCACTCACTGCTCCCCTCAGCAGTGTACTTTGTTGATTTGCCTGTCTGCTCCCCACTCTGTCTCTGGTGAATCCTCTCACTGTCCCCATACCTCTGGCCTATATCCCAGTTCCTTATGTATAAATAAATCTTTAAAAAAAAAAAAAAAGCCTGTAGTTTTAATTTCTTGTATGTAACAAATTAAAGAAAACTTGTACAATTTTTATAAGACTGTAGGTTTTATCTAATATATATGACTTACTACAGAGGAGCAATATTTGCTGCCCCAAAATATGTCCCTGGCCTGAAGGTAATTTTAGGGGGATTATTTTTTTTTTTTTTAAAGATTTATTTATTTATTCATACAGAATTGGGGTACAGGCCAGAGATGCGTAGGGTGAGAGGATTCACCAGAGACAGAGCGGGAAGCAGAACAGGCAGATTGAGGAGGTACACAGCTGAGGGGAGCAGCGGGCGGGTCAGGAGAGGTCTGCCACGCCATGTGGTCACCTCCGGGGCAGGCGGGGATTGAACTCATGCGGAAGTGGCTTTAGTTTCTCAGTGCAGTGCTTTAACCCGCTGCGCCACCAGGGAGGGCCTAGGGGGATTATTTTTAAGAAACAGAAGACTGTAGGGATTTTTCTTTTTACCTCCCCCTATCTAAAAGAATTTAGACAGAGAGCCTGTAACAGGAAAAGAGTTATTACCAGAGGTAATTACAGCAAGTCTGAACTAAGAATAGTAAATCAGAGGGAACTTAGCAAGGTATATATTTGTTCATTGTCATCTCTTGTCCCTTTGTCTCTGCTTAGTATGGCAAGTATTTGCTCTTCCTGTCTTCCTATAAATTATCTTCTCCCCCTTTAAAATTCCAGGCCCTCCCTCTCCCCTTTTCCTAGCTCAGGATCACATATAAGCTTTATTTACCTGACTTGCAGAGTCTCATATCTTTGTGGGACTCTCATGTAAGTGAAATTATTTTTTCTCCTGTTAGTCTTCCTTTTATTATAAGGGGTATCTCAGCCACGACCTAGAAGTATAGAGGAAAAAAGCTTCTCTCCTACACTTTCCCAGGTTCTAATAATATCCATATTACCTTTTCTAAAGCAAAAAGGAGACTTACTTTCTCTCTTAGTTTGTGATAAATGAAGACATTCAGTTTTTTAGGAATGACACAAGATCAAAACAAAATTGGCTGGTTGTAAGCCAATCTAGTCTGCTTTCCCTTGTGCCCCCACTGTTTTGGTTACAGCTGTGAACATTTGTCTTACGGAACTATTAGTGTCCTTTGCAGCATCTTCTGGTACATGGTGCCTTATGACCTCTGAGCTCAGTTTGTTATAACATTTGTTGTTGAATTCTGTTATTGTATCTGCATCCACCAGAGCCTGATTACCTAACTTGAGAGGCTAGACATTGTGCCTTCCAGCCAACTGTTAACCACCACTGCCTTTATAAAACTACTGAAGAGACACTTAAAAAAAAAGTTCAGGGCCCTCCCTGGTGGCGCAGCGGGTTAAAGCACAGCACTGAGAATCTAAAGCCGCTTCCGCATGAGTTCGATTCCCGCCTGTCCCGGAAGGGACCACATGGCGTGGCAGACCTCTCCTGACCCGCCCGCTGCTCCCTTCAGCAGTGTACTTCGTCGATCTGCCTGTTCTGTTCCCCACTCTGTCTCTGGTGAAGCCTCTCGCCGCTCCTGAACCTCTGGCCTATACCCCAGTTCTGTATGCACAAATAAATAAATCTTTAAAAAAAAAAAAAAAAAAAAAAAAGTTCAGATTTCCTGAAAGACAAACCATATTTATAAATAGTTTCTTAAGTTATCATGTTTATTTTCTTCATGAATTACCATGTCAGGCATAAGGGATATTAGAATGATTGAGATAATTTTACTTATTTAGTAAATAAGTAGTATCCTTTATTTGAAGTACTGTTCCAGGAGCTGAAATACAAAGATGAATAAAGTGTGACTCTTAATTCATGAAGTTCTTGGTTTAGTGAGGGTGCATATAAACAAAAAAAAGTAACTCCAACAGTTAAAGAGATGCTATAAAGGCAACAAAGGTGGAATTATTAATTACAAAGAGAGAATTAGGAAGGAATTTAGATTGGAGAAATACTTGAGTTGAGTCCTGCAGGAAGAATAGGTCTTCATCGTAAAGCTGAGTACTCAGTTGGAAGCAGAACATATCTAAATTCCTAAGGCAAGGAGAAGTACAGTCAAGACACTTGGTTAATTGTGAGTAGTTTGGAATATAAAGTTAGAAACAGTGGAGATAATATTGGAAAGATGGGTAAGGGACAGAATGTAGAAGTCATTGTGTTAGCATGTGCCTGAGGGGTACCCGGGGACCCCAAATTGTTAAGGGTTTCCCACAACTAAAAGAGGTCTAGCCATTAAAGGAAGCATACTCATAGTGTTAAAGATCTTGAATAGAATTAGTGTGCATAAAGAGAGAGGAGAATGTATTCCTAATAATAGTTTCCCAATAAATGCTCCCAAATTACCCATCTTCCCATGGGCAAATGGCCAGTCAAACGTGTCAGTCTGAAACAAGACTGTTGGGACTCGAAAACTTGCCACAAGTCTAAGGTACCTTCTGTCTGGAAAACACAAGAAGGAGGTTAGGCAGGTCTCAGAGAGTTGGGAGTAGAAAGATTCAGAATTCAGAATGTACCAAGTAGCCCACCATTAAGTCAGGACGACAGCTGTCATTGTCTCTACCAAGGACTGCAGCCACCTCCCCACATCCCTCTCCTCCACATTGCTCCTCCAAGTTTTCTATCAAGCAGTAACAGGGTACAATTTGGGCTGTAGAAGCATGGGCAAGAGCCAGAGATGCAGGAGAGGCCTGAGCTCTCATGTGTTCACTTATAAACCAATCCTGACTGTTTAACTTCACTTCTAATTCCCAGCAGTTCCCCTGCTGGGGAAGTCCAGTTCATGGCATGCCCAAACTCATAATCCACAGTGGCCACATGTAAGTGGGGTGAGGAAAGTGGTAACTCTCCTTTATGGAGATGTATCTAACAATTTTACGTCATATAGAGAAGTTTAGAAATTATTTGGGGCAATAGGAAACCACCAAAGGGATTTAAACTAGAAGTTATAAAATTAGAATTGAGTTGTAGAAAAATCTATACTAACAGTACAAACGTCTACCTGGTTTTTAAAAATGTGTCCATTTGGAAATTTAAAATTTTAACACATTTTTAAAAACCTGTTTAGTCAGGTCTACTTTTCACTTCCTTCAATAGTGACTCTTTTAACAACACTACTTATAAAGGATAATGTCTTCCTCAGGTTTCAGGGCCTGAGCTATGTTGACTTCTTTTTTTAATTTCAGGATCACCACCCATCTCAGCAGGGCCAAGGGGGGTTACATGGAATCTACCTAAGGGCCTTCTGTACAGGGCTGGATTCAGTTTTGCAGCCTTATCGCCAAGCATTACTTGATTTGGAACAAGAGGTAAGAAACACAGGATATGTTAAAACAAACAAACAAAAAAAAAACCTCTGGGGCATGTTCTTGAATTTGAAATGCTCTTGATATGGTATGGCTGGAGGATACACTATACTCTGATTGTCCAAGCCATGATCAAAGTGGCCTACAGAACATGACAGAAGTTCCTAAGTACGTTTATAAGAGCCTTAGCGTTGATTCTGTGATCTAGAAATCAGAATTAATAATTTTCTACGAAGAATCAATTTCCTGGGCCTCCGTGGTGATGCAGGGGTTAAAGTCTTAGTGCTGTCAAGCTGCTTTGAGCCACGGTAGCCTGAGTACGATCCCAGGGAGGGAGCTGACCCACATGGCAGAGCAGACTTCTGTCTTGCTCATTGCTCCCCTCAGCAGTGCATCTCAGTAGATCCCACCTGTTCTGCTCCTCACTTTCTCTCTTACAAATTCTCTCACCCCCTACACCTCTGGCCTGCACCCCAGTTCTTATAAGCATAAATAATTAAAAATAAATCTTAAAAAAGAAGAATCAATTCTCTGTAGTCTAAAACTAACACTAAGCCAATTCTCAGATTCTCTTCTAGTTTTTTGTTTTTGTTTTGTGTGTGTGTGTGTGTGTTTGTTTTGATTTATTTCTTCTTTCTCTCATAGTTTTCATAGATCTGATATATTGTGTATGGAGCCCTAAACACCATGTTTTTTTGTTGCAGTTTCTGGCTGATCCCCATCTCACCATATCACATGTCAATTACTCCTTAGATCAGGTATGCTACCCAAATAACAAAATTCCTTGGAATCTGTTGGTGTTAGAATAATCTAATTTATTACATTATTTTTGAGAACCTATTCCTTCTAGATTCAGAACCCAGTGTTTTATATATTATTTACCTCAATATTAATTCAGTCTCAAAAATAGAAACTGCTTTTGTCTACCACTCCATATCAAATTACCTTAGCCTACTGGATCTTGGCTATTTTGTGATACTGCCATCTTTATCTTAAGTTAGACTATTTAGAAAAAAAAGGGTCTTCTGAGTTAATTCTTTCTCTCTGTATTTGATTATATACTAATTATCCTCTACTTTGCAGTTCCAGCTCCTTTTTCCCTCTGTGATGGTTGTAGTAGAGCAAATTAAAAGTCAAAAGGTATGAACTTCCCTTTTTCCTTTTGTTCTGGTAAGCACCACGAGAATATTCATAATTATTTTTTCCTTATATTCTTATGGTTTTTATTTATTCATTCATTCAACAACATCTGCTTGGGTATCAGGCTAAGTTATAAACCTGCCCTTAAAGTACCTCCTGGTCCAAAAGCAAGATGAAATGTTAATGGGTGTACCTACCCAAAGAGGATGATAGGTAAGTGAAAAAAAAAGATGGTTATTTGGAGGTAGAACATTTCGCATTAAGAAGCAGCAGAAAGCTTAATCCTTAGATAAATAGTAAGAGGAGAGGGAAAGCAAAAAGGAGAATGTTCAAAACAGGAAATTGAAAAGCACAAGGGACTAGTAATGGCTCAAAGGGAGTTAACAACTATTATTACTAATTCCAAATGGACATTCTCTGGCTTTGACAAGTTAATTCTCTACAAATTTGGAAAACCAATGTACTGCTAGAAAGGCACAGAGCAGGTTCTCTATGACCTGGGCAGACGGGTAAAGATGGCGTTCTGGAGCCCTCAGTGGCTTTTTCAGGCTTTTAATGGTGTGTTTCTGCATCATTTGTAGTGGGGCAACCAGGTTCAGAGCAGTCAAGGGGGCCTCTCTGGAAGGCCTCCCAGCCCCAGGCCAATCGTCACTCCTTTTGGGCTCTCCAGAATTCTCTCTTGGTGCCTTTGCTGGTCTCTATACTACACTCCACTGTATGGCCCTCTGCTCCCACAAATCCTCTGCTGCTGCTGCCACCTATGTCTGTCCAATCTCCAGGCTCAGGTGTGTCCACTCATGCACATCCACGCCACACTCCTGATGCCGCTTTCAAGCCCACGTGTAAGACCACAGGTGTCGGTCATTGATGCTAATGCAGGAGGGCAGAAAAGATGTTTTCACTTCCATTTACCCTACAACTGATAATGAATTTCAAGCAAGGAGCTTTTATTGTGGATCACATAATAGGAGAGGGAAGCAAATGCCATGATCCCTACTCTTAACTTGAGAGATTGTGGGCCTTGGTTGTATGGTGTTGGTTACTAGGGCAGGTGACAGGGTTTAGTGTCATAGCATGTTTTAGATAGACTGTCGTGGGACATGCACAGGCAGGCTTCATGTGTCTTCATGACGTGTCTCATTAGCATTGCAAGTCTCCACCCAGACGTGTATTATTTAGCGTGCTTATGAGACCTTGCTCATTTTAGGTCATTTTTTTAGCATTTGCATCTGTGTAGCCATCAGATTTCATCTGGTTCTGAAGCCTTTGCTCAAAAGCAGGAATAAATGTGTTGTTTGAGATTTCTCCTCAGATGTGTGGAATCATGGTGGGGGTGGGCAGAGAGCGGAGAGTAGTTGTAATGAAGTAAAAACTGAAATCAACAAGCAACTATAAACCAGAGACATTCTGGTGGGGGAGAGGGGAATAGGATCAAAACAGGCCTGGGAAGAGCACACGAGACTACGATGATGGCACACGAGTAAACTGGTGGTGGGAAGTTCACCAGGGTTGCAACAGAGACGAAAAAGCATACATTGTACAAAAATGAAGAATGATGTAAAAAAAATTTTTTTTAATAATAAAAAATAAATAATATTTCTTTAAAAATTATACTGGCTCATAATTGAACCCAAAAGAGCAAGTGAATTAAACATTGTTAGCTCATTCAGTTTTGAAGTTGCAGTTGTGCCTTAGCATATTTGTAGTATTCATCTTGAGGAGTAAAACTAGTTAACCTGTTAAATCATTAGATTGCTACTGTGTTTTTGGTTTGTTTTGCTGTATAGGTATGTTAACTGGAATAAAATTCTTGGTGATAGTTATGTTAGGGTTTGTTGTGTGCAGGGTCCTTAGGTCGTGTTGAGAATGAGTTTGGCAGAGTACCATATAGCAGCACAAGGCGAGTATATCAAGGGAAGAAGACATTTTGCATAAACACAAGTGGGCAAAGAGCTGCATTTTGAAAGGGGCAGGCTTAACAGACACCTACTTAGACACTTGCTGGCAAAGAACTATTTTACAAAGTAAGAAATGTCCTTAATAAATATATATATATACATATATATAAAGAAATGTCCTTAAACATTGTTCTTTGATGGAATTACTTTGTGGGGTTTATTGCTTTAGGTTGGGTTGGGTTGGGTTGGTTTTCTAAACATATAACCCTTTCTGCTCCCACCTCTAATTTTTAACCTTGTGAAAACCTCCAAAGCTTTTTGCTCAAAGCTTCCATTAGTTAATAGAATCTATTAGCTAATCAGAGTGAGGACTGGAACTCAGTAAGCAGTCCAACAGATTTAACTCTGAGAACTGTTCCAGCAATTACAAGTTTGAGTTTAGCTTGTATAGGTAAGAACAGTATTTTTTTTTTGACCTGGTTATATATATATATATTTTATTTTTTATTTTTTTAAATTATAACAGTTTATTTTACATTTTTACATTTTTTTTTCCATCTCAATTGTAGTCCCCGCGGGTTTCCCATCACTAAGTCACCTGTGTGCCATCACCATAATCCTGTGCAAACAGTATTCCTTTTTTAAAAAGACTTATTTATTCATACAGACCTGGAGTACAGGCCATAAGTGCAGGGGCAGTGAGAGGATTCACCAGAGACAGAGTGGGGAGCAGAATAGGCAGATCCACTGAAATACACTGCTGAGGGGAGCAGTGGGAGAGATAGGAGACCTCTGCTGTGCCATTTGGATCACCTCCCTGGCCAGGAATCGAACTTGCACTGATGTGGCTGTGGCTAGCTTCGCGGTGCTGTGCTTTAGCCTCTTGCACCACCACGGAGGGCCCCATAAAGTGTACTTTTCTTGAACAAGGGCTTCCAGTTCTAAGTTTTGGGTTTTTTCAAGATTTTTGTTTGTGCATTTAAGGGTGTAAGCCAGAATTGGGGTGGGGGAAGGGTAAAGGATTCACCAGAGACAGTGTGGAGCAGAACAGGCTGATCTGAAATACACTGCTGTGAGCAGTGAATGAGACAGGAGAGGTCTGGTTATGCCATGTGGGTCAGCTCTCTGGCCAGGGATCTAACTTGTTGCTGCAATGGCTGCCAGTAGCTTCATAATGCTGGGACTTAACCCTTTGCACCACAAGGGAGGCCCCCTAAGTTGTTTTGATCTAAAGATATGCTGAGGCTGGCCTACTTATTGGCACAGGGGTTAAAGACAGTGCTATCAAGCTGTTGCCAGCCATTGCAGCATAAGTTCAATCCTTGGCCAGATAGGTAACCAACATGACACAGCAGATCTCTCCTGTCTCACCCAGTGCTCTTCTTAGCAGTATGTATCAGTAAATCTGCCTCTTCTTCCTGCTCTGGGTTTGGTGAATTCTCTCAGCACCCCACCCCACCCCTGCATCTCTGGCCTACACACCAGTTGTTGTTTGTATACATAAATAAATCTTTAAAAATAAAAATATATACCCCACGGGGATTACAACTGAGATAGGAAAAGGCACAAAATGATGTAAAAATAAACTATTATAATAATAATTTTTAAAAATCCATAAAAAATTAAAATAAAGATATATGGAGGCTGACTGAGCAGAGAGAGAAGCAGTGCTGAGGTTTAATCTTATCCTTTCTAAAGAACGTACTGTGGAGATGCAAAGATTGGATACATAAGTCTTTACCCAGTTTCTTGCTCATTAGTAGAGGTTGAAAAGGCTCATTTTACCTGCAGACAGTAGATTTTGTTTAGCTGTTTTATGAACTTTCAAGTCTATGCAGATGGCTTTGCTCTTTTGTCTGTTAGAGCAGGAGGTGTCACTCCCAGAAAATTTTACAATATGTTTATGAGTATAAAATTTTAACTTTGCTACATTCATTCTGTAACTGCATTGATTCTTCAAAGCTAATTGCCTTCATTAAAAAACACATTTCAACTCTTAATCCTGGTTGCTGTAGTTCAGTGGTTCTCAGTTTCACTGTGGATTAGGGTCACCTGGAGTAATTGTTTAAACCAAATGACTATCCTAGAGGCTCTGATTTAGTAGGTCTGGAGTTGGGCTAATAATTTGTTTTTCTTGTTAGGGGAGGTACCATTTTCCTCTCCCCAACTTATATGCAGCTGCCTTGGACTAGCTAATGGGATCTAGGGGTGGAGCTCAGTGGCCAGGTGAGGTTGTATAACATGGAAGGTCTGTGGGCTCTGTCTTCGGCTTGTATCCAGGAGCTTTTGCCTTTTAAAGGAGACTTGTGGAGGAGAAATAGGCAGACACACTTGGACGAGACCCAGGAGCTGACAGTGGCAACTATTATCGTGATGTGATGCCTCCTATATGGAACTGTATGCAGAACCCCTTTCCTGTGGCTCCCCAGGAGAAGGTACCTTAGAGTTGTGAACTTCCAGGCCTCAACAGCCCTGTTTCAGGACAGCCCTCTTTAATGGGGCATTTGCCCATGAAGGGGTGGGAAATTCAGGGGGTTTATTGCAAACTTAATAGGAATATCCTCTCTGTGCAAACCAGTTCTGTTAAACACCTATAACACTATGAATCTGCCTTTCCTGTGAGGACTAATGACTGGACCCCTTTTAGAACATGCACCCTTAAGTTTAGGGAGCTCTAGAAACCTCTCAGTTGCACACCAGCATTCCCAGGTGATAGTGATGCTATTGGGTGTGGAAAGAGGTGGGGAGAGATTGGGAAGGTGATGGTTTGGAGGATCCGTACCTTGAGAACAGCTAGAGTGATTATGTGATTTATAATTTTTATATACATGTATATTTGCTCTTTATACACACACACATTCATGCACACACACACACACATTTATTTCTGGCACAGAGCTCCCAAAACTTTTGGAATTTCTGAAGTATCTTGATATTCATAATAATGACTTACACTCACACCTAAGTTTGTGTTTATGAGGTGACTTGGAGAGTGGTGTCATTCGATGAGTTGTATTCAAAAGGACAGGTTTATCAAAAAAAGGAAAGGAGAAGATGCTTGCATAGATCAGCAGAAAGCTAGGGGGATGAAACTCATGCTGCTGTGGCTGCAGATAGCTTCATAGTGCTAAGATTTAACCCCTTGCACCACCAGGGAGGCCTTCCAGATACATTTTATAGAAGTCCAAGGATTTTTCATTTGGGGCCCAAGGATTTTTCATTTCTGTAGCTGGTTTGATAAGCAAGCTAATTATCTCTACCTCCAGCTCCAGTTTCTTATCTTTTGACTCCACCATCCTAAAATTTCTACTGTTAGCCTGTATCAGAAAGCACCTAAGGATGGGAGCTTGTTGCCAGCAGAGGGTTGAAACTTTGTCTCGCCTTCTCCCTACCCCTTCCCAAACAGGGGAGAGTGATGAGATTGAGTTCAAGCATCAGTGGCTAATTATTTATCAGTTCTGCCTGTGTAATGAAGAAAAAGTCTCAAAGGCTAGAGTTTAGAGAGCTTTCAGGTTGGTGAATTAGAACACATCCCGGGTTAGTGAAGGGCACCAGAAGGTTCTTTGTTCCTGGGTTGTTCCTGACCTCTCTTTTAGTATCCTTTGTAATAAACCAGTGATCTAGTATGTAAACTGAATTCCTGATTTCTCTGATCTGCTCTAGCAAATCCAAAGAGAGGGCTGTGGGAATATCTGACTTACAACCTGTTTGTCAGAAATAGTATCAACAATGGCTGACCATGTTTTATTAATGGCTAGGTAGATAATGTTACAGGATGGGGAGAGGGGCACCCAAGAACCCCCAAACCTGGCTGTTCTAGATAGGTTCTGCTATCTGCTACATCAAGACAAAACATAAGACCTTTAATGGAAAAGAACTTTAATACAACTAGTATGCAATACAAAAAAGGGGAAATAATAAAGGTTCCAAGTCAGGTATCTGAAGGTACCCATCCTCCTCGGTTAAATACCCAGCCAAGCAGGGTTTGCCCAAAGCAGGGTTGCTGAGGCCTGAAAGCCTATCACAAATCTAAGGCACCTTCTGGTGGGGGCCCATAAGAAAGGGGCAGAGGGGCCCAACATGTGTGGGACAAAAAAGCAAAATCAAGATAAAAGCTGCCATTGTTAACCACCCCACCGGTCTCTTGCTCACATTTCTTTGAGCCTGTCCAGGATCAAAACACAATGGAATGCCACATTTCCAACAGTGAAGTTTTCTTTCAACTTTTATTTGCATTTATTTCATGCTAAATTTATTCCTGAGCCATAAGTTTTTGCTTAATCAGTTTATTTTATGATGATTTTCTTCTTCGTAACCTTCTGTTTTAGGAATCCTATCTTTTGCTGTAAGGGTCATCTCAGTGTGGCAGGGAAAGTTCATGTATGGATATTTGTTTTGCAACAAATCTTGGAGGCTTCGTACACCTGGGTGTGCTTGATAGCCAGCAACTAGTAAATCTACATCTTGACCCTTAAGTTCAGTCTTACTCTGCATTTTTAAGCATGCGTTATAAAAATTCAGCGCATTTTGGGCCACCACCCTGTCTAGCCCCACTGTTTGCCCTCGGCCCACCTACCAGCTCCACCAGCAGTAGTTAAGTCTTCTGATCCAGAGATGGGATCAGAATGGGATGTTTTCCATTTATTTATATCTTTAATTTTGAATAATGTCAGGAATGAGTTAAACCATAGGACACCCAGCTGGCGTTGGAGAGTGACTTGGTGGTATGTGGGGAAAATACACACATTGTCATTAGAGTCAAGAATAGGAACTATAGATAAATCTTATGAAAAAGCTTTTCCTTGTTCTCTGCCTAATTGCACTCTTGATTGATAAAGAGTTTTGTGCTGTGTGAATTTTTAAAATGGAATCTAGCTTGACAAGGCTGTATTTTCCATAGATTCATGGTTGTCAAATCCTGGAAACGGTATACAAACACAGCTGTGGTGGTTTGCCTCCTGTTCGAAGTGCACTAGAAAAGTAAGTCATGGTTTAATTTGGACTTAGAGGGGAGATGATCAAATGACTTGATTTTACATGTGTTTTATTTTTAGGTCATCTCAGATTTCTCTCTGGGGAAAATTATGACCAGGATAGAAAATAGATGGAGCCATGTAATCCTGACAATGGCTCAGAAATTACAAAAGGAGAGTTGTAAAGTGTTGAGTGTCATAAAGTGTTGAGTGTCAGACCTAAAATCTAGTTGTCTAGATGACCTTGAGGCAATCCTTATTAATTCTTGGATCCCATTATCATTGGAGATTTTCCATTACATGAGCTGGATAATGCTTAGCTATGCCTAAATGTGAGTAGTTATTTTCATATCGAGGCCCTTAAAAGTGTTTATAATTTCATAATATAATGCTTAATTTCCCCCCAAAAGAAAATAATCACATGCACATTCACTAGTGTTGCACTGTATCACAGGAGAAAGCTAAATATTTACTTAGACTATAAACCCATTAAAATATAACTATTATAACAACATGGGAAAGTATCTTAACATATTACTGTCAAATAATACTGACTAAAAAAGATACAGTTATACTTTTGACTGCAACTATGTATGGAGTATGATCATTTGCTCTTTTTCCTTCCTTGTTTTTAAAAAAGAAGGTGTAGCATTAATGCAGAATTGAAACATGATCTCTGAGGTTCCTCACAGCTCTTAATAATCTCCACTTTACTACTGCACAAATAAACCCTCAGAAAATCAGGAAACTTTCCAGGTTTTGTAACTAAAGCCTTAGGAATTGAATTCTTTTTTGTCCCCCACCCTCCACCCTATTTACTCCCCATAAAAAGAAATAAAATACATTTTGGCCCTCCCTGGTGGCGCAGCGCGTTAAAGCACAGCACTAAGAGCTAAAAAGCCACTTCAGCATGAGTTCGATCCCCGCCTGCCCTGGAGGTGACCACATGGCGCGGCAGACCTCTCCTGACCCGCCCGCTGCTCCCCTCAGCAGTGCATTTCGTCGATCTGCCTGTTCTGTTCCCCACTCTCTCTGGTGAATCCTCTCACCGCCCCTGAGCCTCTGGCCTGCACCCCAGTTCTGTATGCACAAATAAATAAATCTTTAAAGTTTTTTTCTACATTATCGCTCTATAAATATTTATATAATTCTATGTACAGAATGTAAAATTTTATATAGATAATTAGATATATACATGTTACATATTTTCAGGGACTAAATTTTATAGGCCACATTTGCAGATGTACATAAATGCAGAGGGCTTCCATCTGACTTGTTTAAAGAGAGATCTTACTTAGCATACTAGAAATGGACTGAAGCTTGTTTATTTTTCTCCCCAAGTTTCTATTTTGAAAAATTCAAATCTACAAAAAGTTGAAAGAGTACAATAAATACCTTTAGTTTAGTATCCTTTAGTTTGTCACTAGTTAACATTTTGCAATATTATTTTTTTCCATGAATTGTAAAATATATATGTAAATACGTGTATAAACACACTTTTTTTCTTAGTAATTTGAAGGTAGTTACAGATAACATTACTCACCTCCTAAATATTTCCACTTGTTTCTCTTTAAAAAAAAAAAAAAAAGGTATTCTCTTATATAACCTCAATGGCATATTATACCCAAAAAGTTAATATTCAACAATAGCTTACATATGCCTAGCTTTCCCCAATTGTTCACCAAAGCTCTTTATATTCAGTTTTGCAATCTAGGACTTAATCAGTTATTTAGTGTTTACTACATCTGGTTTTCTTTTAAAGACTCTTAAATTTGGAATAGTCCTCTGCTTTTTTTCTTTAATCACTGAACATTTTTTTACATGACTACTATATCGGGAATATTATTTCCTGTTACACCACATCAGAAGGTACAGAAAGTATGTTTGTTACATTATAGGTGTGAACTGTGATCACCTAGTTTAGTTGTTTCCACCAGAGCTCTAGTTTAGAGGAACCTTCCCCACTTTATAGTTAATATGGTGTCTGTAGCAAGGGCCTTTGAGACCATGTCACTGTTCTTTTCACCACCAGTCTTTCTGCTCATCTGCAACCTTGCTTTACATTAACAACTTTTTTGTTAGATGGTGCTTCTTCTGGTATTCCTGCTTCTCACTTTCCCTATATGATTCCAGCAGAAATAAAACAAATTTAATATTGTGTTCACCAAAAAGAGATTTTGTGAGTACATTATGTAGTATGGAGCCATCAGTTTTTAGGCTTTCTACACAAAAGTCGGGGTAAAATGTACCTCTCCTGAAAGACTATCCAGAACATTCATGGAACATTTTTGACTTTATTATGTAGGCTACAGGTTTGGAAATTAAATTACATAATCTATCCACAAACATTTAAATTAAAATAGCACAATTATTTTTAACTTAATCATTTCCCTTATGACTCATTAAACTCAGGCCCTTATTTATCAAGCAACAGTTTAAAACAGGCCTCTGTGTTTTTGTGGGGGTCAGTGTTTCCTTAGTGACTTGTAAGGCCCTTGATACCTCTTCACTTGTTCTCCTTTCCACTCAGAATTCTGGCCGTGTGTCATGGGGTCATGTATAAGCAGCTTTCAGCCTGGATGCTACACGGACTTCTCTTGGACCAACATGAAGAGTTTTTTATCAAACAGGGTCCATCTTCTGGTAATGTTAGTGCCCAGCCAGAAGAGGATGAGGAGGATCTGGGCATTGGGGGACTAACAGGAAAACAATTGAGAGAACTCCAGGACTTGGTGAGAGCACAGCAAGATACCTAACATATTCCTGCTAGGAATTAGAAAAATGTACAGTTCAATGATCTTTTGATTCCCTATCCCTTCTATTTCATTAGCCTGGGAACCTCCTTTAAATTCTTGACATGTAAACATTTTGATTTATCTTGGCTTAATTTAAGAAGAGACTATAAAATAAATATACTTGTGAGATTCTTTTTTTTTCCCCCTTTTCCCAGTATATGCTTTTAAGAAGTTACTAAGTCTTTCTTAAGATAGTCTTATGGCTACTGTATCACATATGTGTGTGTGATTAGGTGTTTATATATTTATCCATATATGTCTTTATATCCATATATCTGTTTATGTCATATATGTTTTATATATCTGTGTTTATATATCTATGTGTGTTTATATATATACCCATATATGTCTGTATATAAGGTATAGTAGCAATAAAGCAATATGTGTGTGTGTTTGTATAGTCTTGATACTTGATATATATATATATATATATGTATGTAAAAGAATGACTAGATGGATGAATAAGGACAGTAATAAGGCTTTAGGGAGTCCTGTCAAAATTCCAAACCATCCACACGCACGACCACATTCCACACGGTTATCTATCTGTCTATCTATATATACACATACACATCATATATGTGGTTACCTATATACACCATACATATGGTCTCACACACACATGCCCCTATGGTTTTGTCTGTGTGTGTGTGTGTGTGTGTGTGTGTGTATAAAGTTTGGAATTTTGACTGAACTGACCTTATTCAGTCCATCTAGTCATTCATTTACCCATTCGTATTATCCTGTTAATTTTTTGATTGTCTTGATACATGCTGACACTGTTCTAGGTACCACAACTGCATGGACCCATAAAATGTAGTGGCTCCTATGATTAAGTGCTTAGAAGATATTAAAAAGTAAACAAATTACAGTATACTGAATGCTCTGGAAGGAAGAAGTATGGGTGTTCTTGAAACAAGGTCTTAAATTTAACTAGGGAATTCTTTTCAGGAGAATGTATGTCTGAATTGCAAAGAATCGGGAGGAGAGGTCAAGAGATGTTCCAGGCAGAGGCAACAAGGTCTGAAATATAAAGTGTAAGGGACAATGGAGCAGATGGAAAAAGTGGAAATCAATTAAGCTGGGGTAACAGTACCTCAACAGCTCCTGTTAAGCAGAGGTAAAATCAAGAAAGCCCTTGTGAGTGACCGGGGGGAATTTGTACTTGAATATAAAAAAAACTGGGGAGCCAGTGAAGAATTTTAGGCAAGAGGTTATCACAGTCAGACTTTGGTCACTCTGGTACTATGAGGGCAATTGGTTTAAAAAAAAAAAAAAAAAGGTGACGGATATATAGGTCAGTTAGAGATTGTTGGGTATTATTAGATGAAAAGTAAACCAAGGTGATAGTCAATATGGAGAAAAGTACAGATATTAAGAAACAGATTAAGTAGTTTTAGAAATTAGTTGGATATGGGCCCAGAGGGAGGAATGACGGATATCCAAATTTCTGCCTTTAGCATCTAGATGAGAGATAAGGAATGTACTGCTGGTTTTGGAGAAAAGAAGATTGGTCTAATTTTGGACCCTTTGTATTTGACATCCTTGTGTGAAATGTCCACTGGGCTGAACCTCGAGCTTATGAGAACAATCTAGCTTAAGGTACAGCTTTACAAGTCACAGTATATTGGTGTTTTAAATCTGGAACCCTGAATGGTTTTAGGAGAGTCTGTAAATATATATTTATACATTTGTCTGAAGGTCGGTAGCATTTATAATTGCAGAGTCTTGACACCCAAAAGGACCTCAGATATCTATTATGAAGTTGTGATTAAGAAAACTGCAGAGCAGAAGAAAGGAAGGCCTGGGATAGTGCCTTCAGGAAGCCCAAAACAAAAAGAGTGAACAAAGTCAGGATTATGAATTCTGAGGTCCCAGAATTGGAGTAGATGTAGGTTATACAGATGCAACCCAGGAAGTGAGAGGAACCTGATTAATTGGGTGGTAAGTATTTGGGACTTCATGGACTGACTAGATCTGTAGTCCTCCAATTTTAGTATGCACTAAAATAAAAAATTGGAAGCCTGTTAAAACATGGATTGCTTTGCCTCATCCCCTAGATTTTCTGATGGGTGAGGTTTGAAAATTTTCATTTCTAAAAAGCTCCCAGGTGAGGCTGATTGTGCTGTTTCAGGATCAACACTTTGAGGCCCACTTAGCTATATGAATCAGGTTAGTCTAAAAAACTGGGCAGAGTTGACATATATAAGATAAATCATAGACTTGTTGACAGAAAGAATTAAAGAGACCAGCTATACCACTATACAATAAGGAAACAGTTTCGTATTGACAGCTCAACTTTTTATTCAGTAGTAAAGGCAGGTGAATACTAATATCTTAATGTTAAAAAAAAAAAAACAACACTATTGTCACCATGCTATCCTGCCACCTGAAAATGGGATTTACCTCTCTAATACTGGTAATGTAAGAATTTTTTTTAATCTTTCAGGTGATATTTTTGTTCTTCCATATGTGCACGTGTTCCACTCATCCTCTACCAATTCACCCATGCCAGTACTCCATCTCCCTCCTAGCCCTGCCTCCCTCCTCTCTGTTCTCTATGCTCACCATTATATTCTTTCACTGAGATCAAGATTTTGCCATGCATGTTTTTTGTTTGTATTCCATCTTATATCTTTCACTTTTTGGTTTGTTTCATTTGACATAGTCACCTTGAATTTAATCTGTTTTTGTCTTAACTGCCAGTAGTTTGTTTTTCACAGCTGTATAATATTCCATTGATTGTATCTTCCATAATTTCTTTTTCCATTCATCTTTTGGAGAGCACTAAGGCTAGTTCCATAACGTGACAGTTGTGGGCAGTGCTGTGTGCCTACCCATACATAAACCTTTTCATATAAAAGTGTTCATATTGTTTGAATAACTAATAGAGGTATTACCAGAGCACTGATTATTGAAGAATTATGCAACTTCAGAATTTAAAGTCATTGCTTCTATAAAATATAAAACATGTGTTAGGAGAGTTACTGAGTATGTTCTTGTTTTTCTTTGTACATCATTCTAATAAAGATTATTTCCTTGACTATAGCGTTTGATAGAAGAAGAGAACATGTTGGCACCATCTCTGAAACAGTTTTCTCTTCGAGTAGAGATTTTGCCATCCTACATTCCAGTGAGGGTTGCTGAAAAAATCCTATTTGTTGGAGAATCTGTCCAGATGTTTGAGAATCAAAATGTAAACCTGACTAGAAAAGGTAGGAATGTCCTTGCCAAGTGTACTCCATTGTCATAGGTGCAAAGTATGCCTAGTCAGAGTGAATGGTTAGCAGTATTTATATACTGAGATTTCAGGGCAGTAGGGAGGATTGCCTAAGAAGTAGGTACAGCAGCTGCACACCCAGCTTTGTAAAACATTGCCTGCCCTAGTTGTTCTGCTTTAACAATATCTTTCTGTTTGGCAGGCTCCATTTTGAAAAACCAAGAGGACACTTTTGCTGCAGAACTGCATCGTCTCAAGCAGCAGCCACTCTTCAGCCTAGTGGATTTTGAGCAGGTCGTGGATCGTATTCGAAGTACTGTGGCTGAGGTTTGTCTTTGATTATATATTTTCTGAAAAATAAAATGGACCAGTTCCCTTGACTTTTGTTTCTTCTTGATGTGGTTAGAGCTTAGCTGGGGAGGTAATTGAGAGAGTTGAAGGACAAGTAGAAAATGAAAGTACTTTGTTTATAGTAACAGGTAGAACTGCCTTAACCTTTTCACACCTGACGTGGGTTTGCTGTTTAGCTAGTTACTGGATGAATAAAGGGAAGTCTTGGTTTCATTTCAGATAACCAGCATTTTGGGCCTATATAGTTGGTAGTGACCCTAAAGTATCAACTGATTCTCACTAAATTCAGTGTCGACTTAACATTTTAGTATGGCTTTGTAACTTATTCTTTCACGTGTGGATTTGGTACATGCTTTAGTATGTCAACAAAAATTTTTAAATTTTCTAAATAATAGTTTTGGAGTGGTACTAGGGGTTAAATCTCAGCACTATCTAGCTATCAACAGCCACTACCACATTAGTTGATCCCCATCCAGGGAGCTGTCCCACATGGTACAGCAGACCTCTCCTATCTCACCCACTGCTCCCCTCAGCTACCCCAGTTCTTTTATGCATAAGTAATAAAACTCAGTGTTAATTATTATAGGTTAACCTTATTCCTGGCAACTTGTTGAAGTGTTTTTATTTCTAATAGTTTGTTGGTTTTGTTAATTTTTCTTTTTTAAAGATTTATTTATACATACAGAACTGGGACAAAGGCCAGAGGTGTAGGGACAGTGAGAGGATTCACCAGAGACAATGGGGAGCAGAACAGGAGATCGACTAAGTACACCGCTGAGGGGAGCAGCAGGCTGGTCAGGAGAGGTCTTCAGACCATGTGGATCACCTCCTGGGCCAGGAATGAACTGGCACTAAAGTGGCTGCAGCTAGCTTGCAGTGCTGCATCCTAACCCGTTGCACCACCAGGGAGGACCTGGTTTTGTTAATTTTTCTAAGTAATGATGCAGTCATTTACAAATAAAGTTTTATAATTCTCCTTCCAAGTTTTAAACTTTTTTTTTCCCCCATGGCTAGGATCTTCAATACTGCAATAAAAAGCCTGAATGACAGTTTATAGCTATATCAATAGCTATTAAACAAGACAGGTGATAATGGGCATTGTTGATTTGTGGACTCCTAAAGATAATTCATCTCAAATTTCTCTATTACTATATAATGTTTGATGTAAAATTTTGACATGTTTATCAAGTTAAAAAAATTTCTATCCTGGTCCTAGTTTGTCATGAATTTTTATTACAAATAGATGTTGAATTTTATCACTGTTTTTCAGTGTTAGGGTGGTTTTCTCTTCTGGGTTGTTTTTCTCCACTAGTCTATTTATATAGCAAATTGCTGGTTAGATTTTCAGATGTTGAATCCTCCTGAGATAAACTGCTTGATTGTTACATTTTATTTTTTAGTGTACTGTTGGATTTGGCTACCCAATACAATATTTGAATTTTTGCATCTACATTTACTAATTAAGTAAAAGTGTATTATTCTATTCTTGTTATTCTCTCATGTGGTTATGCAGTAGATTATGTAAGCCTCATAAAATGAGTTAGGTATCCATCATTATTTTTTTAATAGTTAATATATGCAAGGAATTGTTAGTAATAGTTTGATTGAACTTACCTGAAAAATTATCTAAGTCAGTTTAATGTCATTAAAACCTATTAATCTATTCAAGATTCTCATTTCTAGGACATTTCATTTTTTTTTAACATTTTAAAAAGACCGGTTTATTAGGAAGAAACAGGAAAAAGGCACCTGCATAGTGACAGGTGGGCAGGGGGGAGAACTGCCATAGACTGCCATCTACTTTAATATTTGAAAAGTTGTCCACCTATGAATTCATGTATACAGATCTTATGTTCAGGTCTGTAATCCATTTTGAATTAATTTATGTATATGGGTTAAGTTAGTGATCTAGGGGACTTCTCTGATTACAGTTTCAGCACTATCAAGCTATTTCCAGATACTGCAGCCTGAGTTTGATCCCCAGCCTGGGAGGTGACCCCCATGGCGCAGCAAACCTCTCCTGTCTCACCTGCGGCTCTCCTCAGCAGTGTATTTTGGTAGATCCATCTGTTCTGTCCCCACTCTGTCTCTGGTGAATCCTCTCACCCCACTCCCACCCCCACCCTCATACTTCTGGCCTGCACCTCAGTTCTTCTATTTATTTGTTATTATCCTTATAGTTACTTATGTACACAGAACTGTGATACAGGTCAGAGGTGTAGGGACAGTGAGAGGACTCACCATAGGCATAGTGGGGAACAGAACAGGCAGATGGAGGAAGTACACTGCTAGAAGGAGCAGCCGGTGGGTCAGGAGACTCCTGCCATGACATGTGGGTCACCTCCTTGCCTAGGGATCAAACTGGTGCTGCGGCTGCTGCAGCTAGCTTCACAGTGCTGCGCTTTCACCTGTTGCGCCAAGAGGGAGGGTCCCACATATATAAATCTTTAAAAGAAAAAAGATAGTAATCTAGTTTCATTGGTCTGTATGTGTTCTCCAGCTTTCTTAGCACTATTCATTGAAGAGTTTTCTTTCTTCATTGTTTTATTCTTGGCTCCTTTGTTCTTAGTTGGCCACACATGTATGTTTTACTTTCCAGGCTCTTAATTCTGTTCCAGTCATCTGTGTACCTGGTTTTAGTCCAGTAGCTTTGTATTATAATTTTTTTAAAGATTTATTTCTGCATACAGAACTGGGGTACATGCCAGAGGTGGTGAGAGGATTCACCAGAGACAGAGTGGGGAGCAGAAAGGCAGATCAAGGAAGTACACTGCTGAGGGGAGCAGCGGGTGAGACAGGAGCTGCTGCGCCATGTGGATCTCCTCCGGGCAGGGATCCAGCTGCACTGAAGTAGCTGGGGCTTGCTTGCAGTGCTGCGCTTTAAGGGAGGGCTGTGTTGTATTATAATTTTTTTTTTTTAAGATTTATTTGTGCATACAGAACTGGGGTACAGGCCAGAGGCTCAGGAGTGGCGAGAGGCTTCACCAGAGACAGAGTGGGGAACAGAACAGGCAGATCGAGGAATTACACTGCTGAGGGGAGCAGCGGGCGGGTCAGGAGAGGTCTGCAGCGCCATGTGGATCTCCTCTGGGGCAGGCGGGGATCAAACTCATGTGTAAGTGGCTTTAGCTTCTTAGTGCTGTGCTTTAACCCGCTGCGCCACCGGGGAGGGCCCTGTTGTATTATAATTTAAAGTCTGGAAGCATGAGTATTGTTTTGGCAGTTTATATTGCTAATACTCTTTTGTAGGTTTCCTACAAATTTTAGAATGTTTTTGGTTCTGTTTCTGTGAAGAATGCCATTGGAATCTTAATTGGGATTGCACTGAATTTGTATGTTGCTTTAAGTAAAATGACCGTTTTATAACAATGTTGATTTATCTGATTCATGGGCATGGAATGTCTTTCCATTTCTTTGTGTTTTCATCAGCTTTTTTTCAAGAGACTCTCCTTTGGCTAAATTTTATTACAAGGTATTCTAATATTATAAGTGGCTTTGCTTCATATTTATTTCTGCTGCACTAAGAAGCTTAAGCCACTTCCGCATGAGTTCGATTCCCGCCTGCCCCGGAGGTGACCACATGGCGTGGCAGACATCTCCTGACCAGCCCGCTGCTCCCCTCAGCAGTGTACCTCGTCAATCTGCCTGTTCTGCTTCCCACTCTGTCCCTGGTGAATCCTCTCACCCTCCGCATCTCTGACCTGTACTCCAGTTCTGTATGAATAAATAAATAAATCTTTTTTTAAATGCAACAGATTTTTGCAATCTGCAAGTTTACTGTATTTTTTTTTAAGTTTGATTCATTTTATACATATAAGAACTGGGGTATAGACCAGAGGTGCAGGGGGTAAGAGGATTCACCCGAGAATAGGCAGATATACTGAAATATATATTGCCATGGGGAGCAGCAGGCAAGACGAGAGGTCTTTGTCACCATGTGGGTTACCTCCTTGACCTGGGATCGAACTCATGCTGCAGTGGCTGTAAATAGCTTCATAATGCTGTGCTTCAACCTGTTGGGTCAACCGGGAAGGCCCTTTACCGTATTATTTCTAATAGTTTCTGGTAAAGTCTTTATTGTATATCATCTGCATATAATGAGTTTTACTATTTCCATTCCAAATTTGAATACATTTTATTTCTTTTTATTGCCTAATTACTCTGACCAAGACTTCAAGTACGAGGTTAAATAACAATGTGTGAGCATCCTTGTGTTGCTGATTTTGAAGGGAAAGGTTTCAGTCTTTTACCGTTAAGTATGATGTTAGCTATTGGTTTGTTCACATACGGCCTTTATTATGTTTTAAGTATATTCCTACTATACTTGCTTTATTGAGGGTTTTTATCACAAATGAATGTTGAACCCTATAAAATGCTTTTCTACATCTGTTGAGGTGGTCGTATGATTTCTATCCTTCATTTGGGTGATGTAATGTGTAACACTGATTTGTATTATTGAACTATCCCACTTATAGTATGTGATTTTTTAAAGTACTTAATTCAGTTTGTGGACATTCTTTTGAGGATCTTTGTATTCACCAGAATATTGACCTTTATTTTGGTTTTTGTGATGTTCTTGTTTGGTGTTGATATCTGAGTAATGTTTGTCTTATAAAAGGAATTGGAAAGTATTCCTTCCTCTTCTGCTTTTTGGAAGTTTGAGAAGGTTTGGTATTGATTCTTTAATGTTTGGTAAAGTTCATTAGTGAACCCATTTGGCCTAGGAGTTTTGTTTTGAGAATTGGAGAGATTTCTTGTGCTCAGTCTTTTTCTTCATGATTCATTCTTGGAAGGTTCTATGATTCAGGGGATTTATCTATTTCTTCTAGATTGTCCAATTTGTTGGCATCCAAGTGTTTACAAATCTCTTATTATTCTGTTTCTATGGTGCATTGTAACTTCACCACTTTCATTTCTCATTTATTTTAATATTTTCTTTCTTAATAAGTAGCCAAAGATTTATCAGGGATTCTTTT